CGAATTTAAATTAATTCTAACTTCCTAGCTAAACTCGAAATATGAGAATTGGTCAACGGATCCAATGAGGGGCTGTCAATTGAGATGGACTCGTGTCACGACTTTGGGAAAAAACTATTCTAAGCTATAAGCAAAGAAATCTATACGATTTTAAGTTAATTTTAACTTTCTAGCTAAACTCGAAATATGGGAATTGCTCAACGGATCCAATGAGGGGCTGCCCATTGAGATGGACTCGTGTCACGACTTTGGGGAAAACTATTTGAAACGATATCTATAGAAAACATTTTGTTTTAAAGTGATTTCCAACTTAAACCCAAGCTAAGTTCGAAATATGGGAGTTAGTAAACGTCTAATCGGGTGCTTCCAATTGAGATGGACTCGTGTCACGACTGTGAAAGAAGCTCAAAGATTTTAAGTTAACTCCTACGTTTGGAGTACGGGAATTAATCGTCGGATGTAGGTGGGGCACAAGCGCAGGCAGACAATTGAGATGGACTTAAAATTATTCGAAAAATCGGCAGATTGTAAATCCTACCCCGCACGACATACACGAGGCTTTATTTGGGCGAATGTTTTTTCTTAAAATTCTTACCAGGTTTTCATTCAGTTTCCGCCAGTTAGAGTGAATGTTCCTTGGGCGATGAGACACGTATGCAATATATTTTTACTCAGATTTTGAGCTATACATTTTTTAACCATTTTTCATAATTTTGCCATGTGAAAGAAGCAGCTCCTGTTGACATCTTCTAGCTAAGGAAAAGTTGCAGATAAATTACAAAAAACATTTAAAAATATAAATCATTAGCAAATACCTTTCTCACCTTACGATTATTTATGTATTTTTCGTGCCTAAGCAGCGCGTGCGTGACACGACACGCGGCCAGCTCGATGGGCGAGCAGAGGCCTAAAATCTGAAACGGACAACTGCGCAAAATGCTTTGTCCACTCGCAGCTAATCCGACATTTGTATGCCCAGCGGCGACTCTTCCGCATGTCGCAGCCAAATTCTCTCTCTCTCTCTCTCTCTCTCTCTCGCTTACTCACACATTTTCTCTCTTGCTCTCTCTCTCTCTCTCCGTTGCAGGCGCCGTTACAGACTCGCCCATTAAGTTCATTAAATTGCCTACTCAGGCGCCTGTGATACGGTATCGGAACGCGGATGCTGCGCCGGATTCGCTGCTGATCAACTATCGGCAGGATGCACAGCCGGAGCTGTCCGCCACGCTGATGCAGGCGCCGGGCGCAGCGGCCGCTGCACTGGAGAATCTGCTGCAGGAGGAGGCGGATCAGCAGCAGCTGGGCATGGGCCGGCAGCATCGTGCCAGCGCCACGAGCAGCTCCAATGCCAACAACAACAACAACAACTGCCCGCGCTCCTGTCCGCCCAGCTTGACGGTGGGCGCAGAGCCCGTCTGCGGCAGCGACGGCCTCATCTATGCCAATCTGTGTGAGCTGCGCAAGAAGACCTGCACCCGCAACGGTGTCTCCCTGATCAAGGATGTGCGTGATGGCTGTGAGCGTTCCAAGGGCTCCGATTGCAAGCATCGCTGCAGCACGGAGAAGGATCCAGTTTGCGGCACCGACGGACGCACCTATCTGAATCGCTGCATGCTGCGCGTCCAGTCGTGCCGCGTAGGTCTCGCCGCCGTCAAGCTGTCGCATGTGGGTCCCTGCAGCAATACGAGTGCCCAGCGCGAATCCTGTCCCGTCGACTGCAACAGCGCGCCAAAGGATGGACCCATCTGTGCCTCCGACGGCAATGTCTACAACTCCACCTGCGAGATGAAGCTGCACACCTGTGGCCAGGGCGTTGTCAAGACCAGTCGCAAGCACTGCCAATCGACGCGCATGTGTCGCGAGTCCTGTTGGCGCGTGGCCAGGCCCACCTGCGGCTCCGATGGCCGTCTCTATGCCAGTCCCTGCAAGATGCGCTCCACCAACTGTGGCAAGCACGTGTTCGAGGTGCCGCTCTCCTTTTGCATGCCACAGGAACGACACGGCAGCCAGTCGGCGGAAACCTGCCCCACGGCATGTCCCAAATCCGATGCGGATGCCACATCGCAGTATGTGTGCGGCAGCGATGGCAACATCTATTCATCACTCTGCGAGCTCAAAATGCTTAACTGCGGGTAAGTGGCCGCCGCAAATCCGAAAAAGTAGCTTTAAAGCACATTAAAGCATTATTTCAAGCACATTTCTACCCTTTTTTTTTATTATCATTGCAAAACTGCAAAAAGAGCTTTAAAGCACATTAAATCTTTGTGTAATTTAAAGTTTAATTAAAGCTTTGTGCTCAGTTGCTCTGTATAAAAGCTTTAAAGCATCTGAAAGCTTTAAACATGGAGCTTTACCCCATTATATTTTTGTTAATCACTTTTTAACTTCATCTGTGCAGACCCCAGCGTAAGTCCATCCAGAAGATGAGCATGGACAAGTGCAAGAATCGTTTGACTCGCTGCAAGCAACTGCCGCCGTGCAAGGACTTCAACAATCTCTTTGGCTCCATCTTCAGCTCGAAACGCAACGACAAATTATGCGGCACAGACGCCAAGACGTATAACAACGAGTGCGAACTGGCCCATGCTACCTGCCTGTAAGTTCCAGAGTCCAGAGTCCTTTCTCTTCCAAAATTTAATTAAATTAATTCGTAGACGCGGCGTCAATCTGGCACATATTGGACCCTGCACGGATCTGAATACGCCCGCCAAGGACTGCGGCGATGCGTGCACGCGTTCGGATCTCGAACAGCAGCCGGTGTGCGGCTCCGATGGCAACACGTTCGCCTCCATGTGCGAGTTCAAGCGACGCACCTGCAATCTGCGCGTGGTGCCCGTCTCGCTGAAGAACTGCGCCCTGACCGCCGACTGTGAGTCCGATTGCGATGCCCAGCCGCCGAATTTCGTGTGCGGCTCGGACAACAAGTTCTACAAGTCCGAATGCCATATGCGCAAAGAGAACTGTGGCAAGCATGTGTTTGTTGTGCCGCTGAAGCGTTGCCTGGCCGCCTTCCAGTTCAAGGGCTGTGCCCGCATCTGTCCCAGGGAGTTTGAGCCGGTCTGTGGCAGCGACAATAAAACGTATTTGAACGACTGCTTCCTGGACATTGAGAATTGTCGCACCAATAGCACGGTGGGTGTGCATCACTATGGCGCCTGTGGACGCCCCGAGGCGCCCTCAACCAATTTCCTTTACTAGGGGCGTCATTTATAATTTTACATGGCATTTAATATTTTTAGGCTACAGTCTATTGCGTATTGATATGTAATATTTTTTTAAAACGATATTTATTGTGTTGGAATTAAAAAGCCGAACGAACGTACAAAATGGGGAATGCTACAGGTTGGACTCCTAGGCGGAGTCATCAAAGAGCTTGCTAAGCATGGCATTAATCTCATGCGGCCGATACTTGACATATTTATCCGGATTTTTGCTAAACTGCACCGCAGCATACCTAGAAAATTCAGGAGTTAGCTTGGACTTACTTATGGATACCCCAATTAACTTACATCTCGAAGAAGCGATTGTAGTTGGGCAGTATGTGCTCGACATTGTCGCGTTTGATGCCCTCGCGCAGTATGACATCGGGTATGGAAATGCCGCGCTGTATTTTGCACGCTTCCTCAAAGTCCTTATTGAAGTTCTGCAAGGTTAGAGTTAAGTATAAGCACAACTGAGCTTAACATTGGTTTAATTTCATCTGCATACCGAGAAACGCTCCTTGAGCACGCTGCGATCCTTGTCCTTCACTTTGCCGGCCACTGGCTTGGGCAGCTCCTCCAGCGAATAAATGCCCGACAGCATCTTGGACCAGGTCTTCTGATAGCTCGTCTTTAGCTCACGTATCATTTCCAAATAGCTGTGCTCACATTCTGGCTCCGCCAGCGTGACCAAATCAATGAGATTGGAGCGTTGCAGGGATTTGAGTATATAGTGTATGTTATTCAGACGGAAAAGATGCTTGGTGGCCTGATCATTGTACTGCTCGCACTTGTTCATAATGGACAGATTTAGCTCCGCCAGCGCTTTCTCTGCGAAGAGAGGAAAGTAAATATGAATAAAAGCAAATGAAATCTTAGACAGAACTCTCACTTATGTAGATAGCCAGCAGCGCCTTGTTGCGCTCCTCGCCGGGCAGTGCCTTCTTCATCAAAATGGTGTCCAGCTGCGTAGAGTAGAGCACATCCTGTGCCAGTATGGAGCCAATTACATCGAAATGCTCGTATAGATGCTCGATAAACCAAATCGTATTGGAGGTCAGCTCGTGCACGGTCGCATCCTTGGGCACATTGCTCTGGCCCACAATGTTTGTGCTCGACTCGCCCTTGACCACATCCAGGAAGTGCTCCAGCGCCTTGGCGCCCGTCTGCTGCAGCTTGTTGAGCACCTTGGTCAACTGCTCGCGCTGTGCCGCATCGTAGGTGCGCTCAATGTCCGGCTGCAGCAGGATGACACGCTTCAGCGCCGAGAATATGCCCAGAGCTGAGGTCCATTCCTTGCGCGAAATGCAGCGTAAGATGCGCTGCGTTATGGCCTCCGCATCTTTGACCACCAGCTCGATGGCATTGTAGGCCAGCCTTGCAAATACCTCATTGTGCTTGGAGGGTGGTATTATGTCACGCATAATGGCCCGCTCCCAGTTGAGCAGACGCTGCAGGCCGAGCAGCATAACCAGATACTTGTCCAGCTCCTGATCGCCATCGAGCAGATCCTCCGAGGTCAGATGATCACTGTGCGAGGAGGCCTTCTTAATGGAGAAGCCAGTGGACTGCTCAATGGTCTGTGTGGCGCGCAGATACAGCTTGTTGGCCTTCTTCTCAAAGCTGCAAGAGGAAGATGATTAATGGAGGTTTCTACCGGAGCAGGAACATATTTTGTACGCACATTTGCTGCAGTCGCGCCGAGGTGTTCTTCTTGGGCTCATTTTGACGTCCGCTGTGACGTGGTCGCTGCAAGAAACGAACATTTTAACTAGGATACAAAAATCAACCAGGCTTAAATTAGAATTCATTTGGTATAAAATATATTTACTGGCGATTTACACAAACATTTGATGAATATCTAAATAGATCTTAATAAATCTTGCAACACATTGAAAATAAAAGATACATAAATATATATTAAGCATATCAGCCAGCGATAGCCTGTTGAGGACATCCTCTAGAGCTCCTTGAGCGCATCCAGTATGCGGCTGCAGTCCTCATCCTTGCGTACGCCAATATTTTTGAGATCGGCACGCTGCATGGACACCAATTCGAGTAGATCAATGTGCGAGTTCTCAAATTTGTCCAGATACGTCTCCAGGCCGACCAGGAGCAGCACTTCCTTCACATTGGTCGCATGATTCAGGACATACGAATGATTCTCAGCCTGGAGCGAACGACGACGCGATTCCCGGCACAGCGAAGTTTCCGTGTTGCTGGCGCTCGAATCATCCAGAAAGTTGTTCAAGCTATTGTTGCTGTCATCGAGCGGGCCCACCTCCTTGCCGGGTTTCTTGACAGGATTTGCTAGTTGTGGTTGTTGTTGCTGTTGTTTTTTCTTCACTTGCTTCTTGAGTATCATCGGCGATGCCGGACTTTTGTTCAATCGCATATCCATGCGAATTGGCGACAAATTCGGTGAACGCAATTTGCCCACAATGGGCGTGGAGCAGCGCACATTGATGCTGTCCACGGTCAACGTGTTGATATCGCAGCTGCGATTATACGGTAACTGGCACACGTCTTTTGGAGTGCAAAATTCTGCCATAGTAATTGTATGCAATGTACAAAATAAAATAAAAAAATATTCAAGACACGACACGAGACGTTGCTGAAAAGCATAAAATTAACTATGGCTGCGGCGGTCGCCATTACTGGCAGCATTTCGGGAAAACTGCCGTTAGGCGCACAGTGTTGCATACACAATTCACAATATATATATACACAATTATCGATTACGCATAAGACTGTCACGTCACAAATTTCCCCACTCTTATACACATCGATACTCACCAGAGCCTCTGTGCCCCAGCTGCTGCTCTTCTGATGATCCTTGAGCAGCTGCAGGGAACGCAGCACAACCTCTCCACGCTCGGATGCGTAAATGTGTGTATATTCGCGCATATTCTGCTCCAGCCAGAGCGATATGGTAAAGAGCTCCTCGCGTGTGCTCTGCGAGAGCTGGCGAAACGATGTAAACTCATCGCTGGATGAATCATCCTCAATATAAATAAGATCCAGCAGCTCGACAGGCTTTAGCGGAGCGCTGTGCTTCTTGAGCAGCATGCTGTAGTGCTGATTGAGACCCTCGCAACCGTTATTGAACAAACTGGTCACGTTCTCCAGCTCCACACTCTGCGAATTGTTGTGCAGAAAGTAGTCCATGGCGGCGCGCAGCTTGGCCAGCGCGTCCAGAAAGGCGCCAATGTTGCCCTCAATGGGGCCCTGGTGTATGAGCTGGCAAACCTCCTGGGAGACATCGTAGTGGGAGAGCACGCTCTCCAGGCAGTTCAGCGTGGCCTCCAAGTCTGAAATGCGGGGCGTTCAGTTAATTAATCAGCCTGTGAGTGGGAAAATGTTATCAGTTGTTTACTCTGTTGTCGTTTTTGCAGCTGTTCCGTCTCCTGGTAGACGGGCAAAATGGTTTGCTCCAAGTTGCCCAAGCGCTTCTCGAAGATGGTGAGTATGCTGGACATTTGCGTGGACAGATCGTGATACTTGTCCACACGATCTTTGAGCAGCACCAAATTGGTTGTTTCCTTTTCCAATTTGTTGTGCGCTTGCAGCGAACTATCCAAATTGTTCATTGTTTTGATTTTGCACTGAGAACTCATCAACACTGTCCGGAATCCGGAAAGTGTTCTAAAAGACAAACAGCTGATGCCTATCGATATTCTGGCTGTGCTAAGATCGAGTCTATCGATGAGCTTGTGTTATCGATAACCCAGCTGCTTGGTTTCCATGGCAGCTATTATTTTGGCCCAAACAAAACGTAAATAAAATGTAAAAACCTGCAAACGATGCAGCTGCTTTGAATGAAAAAAAAATGCGTGGCGTTCTGAAATGGTTGGAGCGCATCGAGTTTCCGAATGCCAAGGATGAGAACACCAGGTAAAGTTGCTAAGTAGAATTGACAACCACCTGTGGCAAAATTTGAATTTCCTCTAATTGCTTGCAGCGTACATTCCGTTTGCTACTCGCCCGATGGCAGCCAATTGGTGGTCGCTGCAGGTGAGCGATTGCTCATCTACAATCCCAACGACGGCTCCTTGCTGAACACCCTGAAGGCGCACAAGGATATTGTCAATGCGGTGGTTTATTCGCGCGATGGCAAACGCTTTGCCAGCGGCGCCGCCGACAAAATGGTCATTGTGTGGTCTCCGCAGCTGGAGGGGCTGCTCAAGTACTCGTATGTATGACAACATTCATAAGGCACACAACTTAACGCAGCTCTCTTGCGATAGCCACGGTGACTCCATTCAGTGCATGTGCTTTAATCCCGTGTCGCATCACTTGGCCTCCTGCTCGACCTCGGACTTTGCCTTCTGGTCGGCGGATCAGAAGGCTGTGCAAAAGTATAAAATTGGTTCGCGCGTAAATGGCTGTGCCTGGACCAACGATGGACAATATTTGATCCTTGGCCTGACGAACGGCAGCGTGTCCATACGCAGTAAATTGGGTGAAGAGAAGGGTCGCATTGAGCGTCCTGGTGGTCCCAACAGCTCCGTGTTCAGCGTACAGTGCTGTCCGGCAAATGGCGCTGGCAATGTGGACACCATTGCCATTGCCGACTGGGGCCAGACGCTGTCGTTTCACACGCTCAACGGACAGATGATTGGCAAGGAGCGTGCCCTGGGCTTCGATCCGCTCTGCATGCAATACTTTCCCAATGGCGAATTCTGTGTGGTGGGCGGCTGTACGGAGAGCTTGCACTTTTTCACGCGCGATGGCGTTCGCCTGGGCACGCTCGGCGATGGCTTCAACTCGTGGATCTGGTCGGTGGCACTGCATCCGAATGGCCAATCCTACAGCATTGGCTGCCAGGACGGCACACTGGCCTGTTTCAACATTGCATCCAGCACCGTGCATGCTTTGTACCGGGAGCGTTATGCTTTTCGGGAGAACATGTGCGATGTGATTATTCAGCATCTGATGTCGGGTCAAAAGGTGCGCATCAAGTGTCGCGATCTCGTCCAGAAAATAGCCATCTATAGAAACCGCCTGGCCGTGCAGCTGCCGGAGCGTGTGGTGCTCTACGAACTCAGCTCCACAGAGAATCAGCCCATGCACTACAAGGTCAAGGAGAAGATCCAGCAAAAGTTCGATTGCAGCCTGCTGGTCGTGTGTGGCCTAAATATTGTGCTGTGCCAGGAAAAGCGGCTGCAGTGCTTGGACTTTGACGGCGCACTGCAACGTGAATGGATCATGGACTCGTTCATACGCTATATCAAGGTGACCGGCGGTCCGCCGGGTCGCGAGGGTCTCATGGTGGGTCTGAAGAACGGTCAAGTATTTCGCATATTTCTCAACAATTCGCTGCCGCTGCTCATCACGACGGCGGTGTCGGCGGTGCGTTGCTTGGACATCAATGCGAATCGCAGCAAAATTGCCGTTGTGGACGATGCTGGGCGGCTGGTGGTGCGCGACCTGCTCAACGACAGCATACTCTATCAGGATGTGGGCGTGAACAGCGTCACCTGGAACACATATCTGGACACAATGCTCTGCTACACGCACACCAGCGGCGGGCTGAGCGTGCGCGTGGGCAACCTGCCGCCCAGGGCGCCACAGAATATGCACGGCGTCGTTGTGGGCTTGTGTGGAGCGACTGCTTTTTGTCTGCGCGGCAACATTATGCATAATACGCCGCTAGCTCTGGGCGCCACCATGTGGCAATTCATCGAGGCGGGCCTGTTTGAGTAAGTTGCAATTTAAGAAATATATATTCCCTTTCCTAATCTGCTGCTCCTCTGCTCTAGTGAGGCCTATCAGGTGGCCTGCCTTGGTGTCACCATCAGCGATTGGGAGGGCCTGGCACAGTCTGCTCTGGAGGCGCTGCACATAAATATAGCACGCGATGCATACGTCAAAGTGCGCAATTTGCCCTGGCTGAAGGTCATCAGCGAGCTGCGGGAGCTGCAGCAGCGCGCCGCAGTGCCCAAGGAGGTGCTTCTCGGCGAGAGCTGCGCTTTTGCTGGCAAATTCAAGGAGGCGGCACGCCTGTTTCTCAAATGCGGTCATTCCTCGCGCGCCTTGGAGATGTACACAGATCTGCGCATGTTTGATTTGGCCCAAGAGTACCTAAAGGATGGCAGCGAAGTGGAGAAGCGTGAACTGGTGCGCAAGCGCGCGGAATGGGCATACTCTGTCAAGGAACCGCGCGCAGCGGCCGAGCTGCTGCTCTCCGCTGGCGAGCACCAGAAGGCCATAGACATTGTAGCCGAACAGGGATGGGCGGATGTGTAAGCGTCATGCTGAGACCAAGTTCGATTCTGATTTAATCGATGTTCTGTATATTTGACAGGCTCTATGACATTGGCCGCCGCTTGAGCCTCAGCGAACGCGACGCCGTGCAGTCGGTGGCACAGAATCTTAAAAAGCTCAAAGCTTTGCCACTCGCCGCTGAAATGTTCAAAAAGCTGGGCGACGAGGCGCAAGTAGTGCAACTGCATGTCGAGGTCCAGGACTGGCCAGAGGCCTTTCGCTTGGCGGAGGGTTTGCCACAGCTGCTGCCCACGGTGCACTACCAGCATGCACAGTGGCTGGCGGAAACGGATCAATTTATAGAGGCGCATCAGGGTGAGGGACTAGACGATAAGTTTATATAGGGAGCCGTGTATAACATATTCGTACACTTTATCTTTAGCTTATCTGAAAGCTGGCCGCACCAAAGATGCGAATCGCCTGCTGAAACAGCTGAGCAAAACGGCCATTGCCGAGGAGCGTTACCTGGATGCCAGCTACTTTTACTGGCTGCTGGCCAAGCAGTATCTGGATATCTATCACGAGAAACCGTATGACATGGCCGGTCTGCTTGTCTGAATTGTAATCCCTCTAAAATGATTCCCTCTTCCTTCTTTATAGGGAACAAAATGCCATTGACCATCATCTGAACGAGTACAAAAACCATTTGCGCATTGCCAAGGTCTACTATGCCTACAGCGTCATCTACAACTATATGAAGGAACCATTTACAACCTACTCGCCGGTTAGCCTCTTCAATGTGAGCCGTTTCATATTCAACGAAGTGGAGAACAAGGGCGCGCCAAAGGGCGTGAGCATGTTGTATGTTTAACGTATATATTTGTAGAGAAATATGAAGAATCATAATTATTGTACAATTACAGCTCGGTGCTGTTCACGCTGGCCAAACAGGCCAAGCTGCTGCAGGCCAACAAGCTGTGCCTGCTGGTCAATAAGCGTCTGCAGTCGCTTAAACCACCTGCTGGCGTGCAGGAGCAAATCGACGTGAGTTAACATAATATACGAAAAATTGTCCTGACTAATCTGTGGCTGCAGTAAACATATATAAATGTATGTATGCATGCATGTATGTATGCATATAAGTATGTATGCATGTAAGTATGCATGTATGTATGCATGTAAGTATGAATGTAAGTATGCATGTAAGTATGCATGTATGTATGTATGTATGCATGCATGTATGTATGTATGGATGCCTGCATGTACATATGTTTGCATGTATGCTTTAATGTTTGCATGCATGGCTGCATATATATGTATGCATGTTTGTTCGCATGGATGATACAACCAAACATATATACAGACATGCATACGTACATATATATGCAGATATGCACACACACATGCATACATGTATACACACACACACACACATGCGCACATACATACACACATGCGCACATACATACACACATTCATCTACATACATACATACATCTACATGCATACATACATCTAACACATGCATACATCTACATACATACACCTACATACACACATACACCTACATACACGCATACATACATCTACATACATACATCTACATACAAACATCTACATACAAACATCTACATACATACATCTACCTACAAACATCTACATACATACATCTACATACATACATACACTTACCCGCCCTGCCTCCTCCTGCGCCACCGGCTCCAGGTCCACCGCCTCCTGCTCCACGGCCAGCAGTCGGCCAACGTTTGCTGCCTTGCTAAATTTCAGCAAGGCCTACTTGAATTCTTGAGAATCGAGGAGGAGAGCACTTGGTAAAAATTCGTTTTATTTAAATGTGCAGCACTGCGACAAATTAGTTTGGCCTGCGTTTGATATTAGAAAACAAACATACATACATACATGCAAGCATACACTAACACACACATGCCCACACACACATACACACAAACATATACATATATATATATATATATATATATATATATATATATATATATATATATATATATATATATATATATATATATATAATACTTATGTGCCCTCGCACATTTATATATTCACAGCTAAATTTCCTGAACAGCAAGGCCTGCAAGAGCGGCTTCAATGATCCCGAGGAGCTGCTGCCCTTGTGCTATAAGTGCTCCAACTACAGCCAGCATTTAAATAACAATACTTGCCCCACCTGCAGACAGGATTATATATTTTCCTTTGTTTCATTTGGTGAGTGGAACGAGAAAGACACAACTCTCAATGATTACAATATCCTTGTTGGCTTGCAGAAATCTTGCCTTTAGTACAATTCCATCCGGAGGTGGACATTACCGATGCCGAGGCGGAGCGTTTGCTTCTGGCGCCGACCAAAAATGCCGAGGATGCGGATCCATTTAATGAGGATGTGGCCAGCGCGCTGCCGTTGAGCTTAGATCGCAATGCATTGCGCGCCATTGATCCCAATCATGTGCTGATACTGAAGCGCCAGGACAAGCACATACGCAACATATATTATCGCAATATATTGCCCGATCTGCAGGTTACCTACTGCCCGGAGTGTCTGCTGGTAAGAGGCGAGAGCTTCTTAATGCTTCAAATATTTCCATTTACTGTTTTGCTTATTTGCTAGCTTTTCTATGCGGAGGACTTTGAGCTGCAGGTGCTGCAAAAGGGCCACTGTCCGTTCTGTCGCACTTCGTCGGACAAGCTGCTGGAAGACTTTTGAGTGCAAAATAGATTTAAGAATTGTATTGTTAGCTTATGTTTAAGGCTGTACGTGATGTATTTCCCATATCCGTCCGACAAATATAAACTAATTACAAAATTGTTAACTAACAGTTGAAGCCTCTCTTTGGTCAGTTGTTGTCTTAGGCCCACGTTTCCTCCTGGTACCGTCGCTGTTTTATCAGCTGCTCCATATGGAGCGCATCGTTGTCCAGCGCCTCAATAAATGCTTCTCGCACAGCTTTTGGCATATTGTTGGAGCTGCCTGCCACATAGACATAAGCATTCTGCTCTCTAATCAGCTTGGCCAGGTGCGCGCCGCACTCTTTGATCAGATGCTGTACATACACCTTGTTCTCCTGGTCGCGCGAGAAGGCTACATGAACCTCCACGCTTTGATCAACCTGCCACGCCTTAAAGTCTTCCATAAAGTGGTAATCTTTGGCCTTGTTGCGACAGCCAAAGAACACAACAAGCGGACCCGTATCGTGGCCCAGCTGCTGCTGATGCAGGCGTTCCTGTATAATGCTGCGAAAGGGCGCTATGCCTGTGCCGGGTCCAATCATGATTAGAGGTGTTTCGGGCTCTTTGGGCCAGTTCATGGTGCCCGGCTTGATAGCGGCGCGCAGCTCCTCGCCTGCCTGTAGGCCCTTTAGCCAGTTGGAGCACAGGCCCAAGCGCGGCGTATGCATTATGGTCTTGTAATTGACCACGGCGACTAGCAAATCGAGCGTGCCGCTTGCGGCGGCCGACGCAATGGAAAAGCTGCGCGTTTGTATTAAAGGCATCATTTCGAATAGCTGCGATAGCGTCAGCTTGGACATGGCATGCCGGAAATCACTCAACAGCTCCAAAAGCGTGCGACGCGGCCTGTTCACATAGGCTATCAGATCGTCGAGACCTTCTGCGCTGCAAAACTCCAGAAGTTTCTCGCGCTCCATCTCATCCTCACAGTTCTGTGCGAGCACCTCAAGCAAGCGTTGCCTGGGCCTGGCACTCAAATCCCAAATATACCTGGCTGCCTGCTGCAGCGATATGGGCGCGGCGTAAGGCAAAGGCAGCGGCAAATCTGCGTGAGCACTGCTCACTTCGACCACGGTGCTGGCATCAAAGTCGAGCTGGTGTTCTTTGAGCAAATCAAAGAATTCCTGAACATTTTCACGGCTATTTTGTGGCTGCACTTCGAGCACATCGCCTGGCTGCCAGGTGATCGTTTGCGCGCTGCTAAGTCGCAGCAAACGCACGTCCTGAAAGTGATCCTCGGCTGTGGTGCGTGTGTTTTCGATTAATTTGAAAACGTGTGCTTCCTGCCGCTGTGTCCAATGCAGGCGCTCCTCACTCAGAGCCGGCTGTTGCTCTAGCACACGCACCTTCCACCGCTTCACGATCTCCTGCTCCGGCTGCTTGCGCACAGCCGATGTGCTGCTCAGTGTCTGCCACAGATCCGCTATCCAGGCAAGCGATGTGCCCAAGTGGCCGTAGTCATGCTGATCGTCACATAGGCCAAGCGGGCAAATAGATTTGGCGCCAAGATTCAACAGGCGCTTGTGCAGCTTTTTGGCTGCATAATTGAATTTCGGGTAGCTGGAGTCACCGAGTCCAAGGCAAGCGAATTGTAAACCATCCAGTGAGCTGCTCGGCAAGCTCCGTTTCAGTAGAAAGCGCCAGGCTTGTTTCATATTGTCGGGCTCCATGCCATCGCCGGTGGTGGCCACCACAAAGATCACGAGGCGCTCCTCTATCAACTGCTGCATATTGTAATCCTCAAGAGAGAGTACTGGGCCCTGGAAGCCCCATTGACGCGATTCGCGCCATATCTGTTCAGCCACATCCTGTGCGGTGCCAGTTTGACTGCCATAAAGAACCAAAATACGCATAATTTTTAATAAAAAAAAACAATTTCGAAAGGGAATGAAATTCCAATCGGACACAAGGCCGGCTTGTCAGCTGTTCACAATGCTCGCAGTGTGCAAGGTAGCGTCCAGCTGAAAGCATTTAAATTGAGAAAGCGCACACAATACGTAATTGTATATAATATGAAAATGTAATTTAATTTAATTTGATTTTTAGTTAATCAGAGTAAAATTTAATTGAAATTGATATATTTGTATACACAAATTTAGCATTTTATGTTCAAGTTACCCGAAATTAACTGTTAAGCTGTGACGTCACAGCAAATTCGATAACGCGACTCTCAGTGTCTCTGACATCTCTTTCGCTGATATCGATAGGTAAATCGATAAGTTTACATGCGTGACAATCGTAAACTGTTTTTTAACAACACGGTTTCACGTTCTTTCGGTAACTCGCACAAAAATAGCGAAATTTAGACACGTGAGTAACAAATCCAACTGGCAACTATGGCTAAGGCGCACTCCGATATCCAATTGAGTAAACAGCTCTCCTGGCTGCTGCGTCATGGCGCACAGAAGGCGGGACTCACTATACAGCCAGATGGATATGTGAGCGTTGCGGAGATTTTACAGCATCCGCGCTTTGGCGCACACTACAGCATAGAAAAATTGCGGAAAATCGTGGCTGCCGATGCGAAGCAGCGTTATAGAATGCGTTACAATTCCCTAACCGGTGCCGAGGAGATACGCGCCAATCAGGGTCATTCCCTGGCAGCTGTGCAGTCTGAGGCATGCCTGGAGCGCATAAACAGCATATCCGAGCTAGCCGAGATGCATGTGGTGCATGGCACCTACTATAAGAACTGGGAGCAGATCAAGACGGAAGGCCTACGTCGTATGCAACGGAATCATGTGCACTTTGCTGTGCTTACGGATCAGAGTGATGCCATAGTGAGTGGCTTTCGCGGCGATTGCCAGGTGCTCATCCATTTGAATGTGGCTAAGGTGCTCGAAGATCAGCTGCAGCTGTTCCGCTCCAGCAACAATGTGATACTCTGCGCCGGCATCGATGGCTGTATAAGTCCGCGGTATTTCGAGCGCGTCATTGATAGACGCACGGGCAAGTCTTTGACATGATGCAAACCGATTTTGGTTGGATATAGTTGTGTATATCGTATGTGCTGTGCCTTAGACTTTAGTTTAAATGTGCCCTGTAAATAAAATGTACTAAGTTTGTGTTTTAATCAGTTGCTTTTAAAATTTGGTTTTTACAGAAATGAGCGACTTGGAAACTCGCACAAGGCCGTCCCAGGACGAATCGGTGCACTGCAAGGTGTGCGATGCGCCCTTCAAAACGCTGCAGGATTGCCTGGCGCACGAGTTGCTTAAGCACACGATAAAGCCACAGAAAAAGCTGCGCAAATGCTTGGATGCCATCACAAAGCTATTTGCCAGCGAGCAAATTCAATGCGAACGTCGCGTGCTAAAGGCGACACTTGCCCAGGCACCGGCTGGCCAGCATTTGCGCGCCGTGCTGGCTTTCTATTCCGGCAACTGTAATGAGCTATCGGCCTGCTTTGCTCAAGTGCGAGAGACCCTACAGAAACAGTTGCAGGGTAGGGTAAAGGTTTATCCCTTCGGCTCGCTTGTAACAGGTTTGGCTTTGAAAGGTTAGTAAATCCCATAATTATTGTCGGTTGGTAATACCTTTAATTATGCGCTGCTTCTTCTGCAGATAGCGATATTGATCTGTTTCTGGAGCAAACCGACACCAGCTCAAATAGCATGTCCCACCGTCAATTGTTCAACAAGATCTACAACTTTTTGCGGCGCACCGATTGCTTCCAGGATGTGTTTGCCATACGGCACGCCCGTGTACCCATCATACGCTGCAAGCATGTCTATAGCGGCCTCAGTCTGGACATTAATATGTCCAGTCCGAATAGCACCTATAATTCGCGTTTTGTCGCCGAGTTATTGGGCCGGGATGTGCGCATGCGCGAGCTATTCCTGTTCCTGAAATTGTGGGCAAAGAAACTGAAGATCATTGGCAGCGGCAGCATGACCAGCTACTGCCTGATCACCCTTATCATATTTGGCATGCAGCAGCGTAGACAATTGCCATCGATCAAGCAGCTGCAGGCACGTTGCCCGGTTCTGGAGGTGATGGGCGTTAATTATGCATATAGCTTTCAGCAAGTGCGTCCAATACCGGCCAGCTTGACCACACTGGATCTTATCTCCAGTTTCTTTGAGCTTTACAGTCAAATGGAATTTGAGAAGAAACTGTTGTCACCCTATTTGGGCTGCGCATTGGACTTGGAGACGGCCTTTTCGACGCCGGGCAAATTTCCCGAGTATGAGGAACAATTAAAGGCCATGCATAAAGCTACGGGGGAGCAGCCGGAACCGTTTCAGTATCAACGCTGCGTTTGCGTTCAGGATCCATTCGAGTTGCAGCATAATGTGGGCCAGTCCATATCCATAACTAATCTCTGCTATCTGCGCGAGTGTCTGGCCCTGGCCACTAAAGCGTGCAGCGATAAAAGATTGGTCTCAACGCCTGCCAAATTGTATGACTATTTGCTTTTTGGTCTGGCCGAGAAACTGTTGCAGGGCCAACGCCTGGACCAGGAGCAGCCGGCCAAGGTGCGCAAGCAAATGTTAAATAAACCAGAGCAGACGCCAATGCAGAGAGCACAGCCAGATGGATCTGAGGCAACAACACAGATCGTCGCAGATGATGCCATGGACAGAACGCAAGTTGCTGCAACGGCAAAGCCTGCCGTTGCTGCGACAAGCACAAAAACAGTTGCTGCACCGGCAAATGCTGCAGTTGCTCCAACCGCCAATTGTGCAGTTGTTGCGGCAGCAGAATTTGCAGCTGAAGTAGCTGCCAAGCCAAAAGAACGATTATCATCGAGCAGCTCGGTGGAGAATGCGCCACCGCTAATGCATGTCCATACACTGAAACCAACCAACAATGACCTGAAGAGCTTGCCTGCTGATTTCCTGAGCAAAAATCGGAATGTAAAGCAAACAATATATTACTATTGGGCGGAATGCTATGTGGATGCTATTAAGGATATACTAACAAATATTTATGGACTGAATTTGAAGTTAATTGAACCAGAGGAGCCCCTGACAACCAATAGCAATAGCAATGCACTGCCACAACACTTTACCTGGCTGATCAACACAACTCTGGATACGTGGAGTGCTCGCAATTTCCAACGCTCCACACGACAATCATTCTTTGCCCAGCAACTACAGCAGACCATTGAGTTTATCAAGACACGCCCAAATAATGCCAACTATGCTGTCAATCTGTGCGGTCGCTTCTCGCTGATCGTTGGGCCGGACTATAAGGAGCTGCGCCTAGAACTGCAACCGATGCCAAGCGATGCTCTCGGCCTGCAGCGACACAGTCCGCTAACCAAGTTCTTTAAATCCTTAAAGAATATGTTGTGCAATTACAAATTCAAGGAGAAGGTCATCAGTCTACAACAGTATCAGCATTGAGTTCCACTCCCGCCCCCTCCCCCACTACCCCTCCCTACCTCCTCGAAAAAAAAGCACAGAAGTCCTTGTTTACCGATCACACCAAAAAATAACAAAAAAAAAAAAAAAAAAAAAAAAACCCAAACACGAACTGCAAAAAAGAACAGAAAAGAAACAAGACCCATAAGATATATATAATTTTTTTTTTTTAGTAGCTCACGAACTACATGAAATTATTGTGAAATCAGTTTATACACAGGAGCTATGTGTGAGCTAAGGTACAAGAGAGAATTGCAATGGCTCGTTTGACAAATTACAAGTTATGCCCCCCCTTAGAAAATCAGCAAATGTACATATAGCTAAAAACATTTCCATATCGTATATATTTCCCTATATATATATACATATATATATATATATATATATATAAATATATATATATGTCTACATATCCGTTCAAATTTTAGGTTAGTGACATCTTTGACTATTTAACCACATTGCTCACAATAAATCAATTGCAATTCTCAACTAAGTTTTGAATTATTTACAAACGCCTAAATCCTTATATACCTATATTAATATATATTTTATTTTGGTTAACTTGTTTTCGTTTCCTTTAAAATAAAAAAAAAATCGCTTTACTACATTTTTAACTATGAAAAAAACTTGTCACAAATAGTTTTTAATTACATAAAATTATATGTAAAATGTAGCTGTTTATTTTTTACTTGCAAACTTAAATAATACTTGATTATACAATATTAATTGAAATCTTGGCATTCGTTGTTTGTTTGGGTTTCTAAGTATATTGGGCATCGATTATATATACATAAAGAACTTTAGAAGTGAGCAGTGAGTATATATATATTATTTACAGTGGGAATTTACTTTTCTATTTCTCATTTTTTTCTTGGCATCTACATAGCAAATTTACAAGCTCTAGTTTATGATACAAACATAATAGAATATTTCTGATGCTTCTCTAGGAGAATTGAAATATATTTGAAAGAAGCCAATCCCAAAAACCTTACAGATGAAGGCAAGACGAAATATTCTCAGAGAATCCATGGTATTCGAACTAGATATTGGGTTCCAGGTGACATAGAGGTAATCTATAGACTATCACTAGTCTTACTCGATATGCTAGTAAAGCTATGTCACGTCAAGAGATCCTATACAGGACATTCTCAAGGTTCTCAGAACAAAAGATTGAGATTCCTAATCTTCTTCCTGCTTATATCTAGGACGAAAGTTGGCTACACTTACACAGAGGATGTCGCTATATTCCCTAGACGCGTCTGTTCTTTGCATTTTCAATGCTAATCTTACAAAAAAAAAAATAAATATTATCACGTTGCTGCTCTGGAAATGTTCCCGAGTCGAGGTGTTAACGCCCACACGGCGGCTACTTAGAGGGAGAGTTAAACATCTACTTTTGCTTAGCCCTACAACAACTACTATTAACGGCACTTGGGGGCTTAAGACTAAGCAATCTAACTAATATATGAGTCCCATATTATCGATTCGAATCAAGCGCCCTTGTGACGACAATAGCAATACTTCTTGATGGCAAAATCGTTCATGCAATCGGCCTCCCCGCTGTACGTGTTGAGGCGACTCACAGAGCCGGTCACCAGCAGGTTGTCCTCCTCGGGCAGTTGGCTGTTGTAGCGCACCGTTGCCTCGTACAGCGCCTTATTGGGCGCGGTATAGAAGATTAGCCAATAGATCTGTACATGGCCGGCATCGATGTCATTCGGATGCGCCTTGTAGGCGGCGCTCACGCTTTGCAGCGACAGTGGGACGCACAGATGAGCTAGGCTGCCATTACGGAAATTGTTGATATAATCGTTCAGATAGTGCACCACACGCTTGGCCAGCTGACGCACTGTCTTGGAGTTCTTGTAGACGCTATCATACGCCCAGCATGTGCACCAGTGATCCTCAATGGCCACATCCTGACAGCTGCGATTAAGCGGCACTGGCAGCAACAGACTCTGGCACTGCGGGCAATCCTTGGCGCCGCCCAGCGACTTCAGGCTACCGGAGCGACCCGAAAGCGTGAGTATATGCTTAAGTGTCATGTGCAGATCGTAGGGCGTGGTCAGACGATTGCGATTCTGGCGCAGCGCTTCGACAAACTCCGGATGCGTCTGTCGCACAAATGGCGGCAGCCAGATAAACAAAAAAGGCAGCCGCTCCTCCAAGTGACCCGACCAGGTGGCACGCGTCGGTCCAAAGCGCAGACCATGATCGCTGAAAAACACCACAATGCTGTGCTCCATTGTGCCCTGCGCCACCAGCCGCTGCAGATATCCCCGCAAGTAGTCATCCATGGAGCTGGTCTGCGATATGTCGCTGTGGCTGTGCGTGTTCGTCCAGAAGAAGCCGAAGAAGCTGTCGTTGCGATAACGTTTGGCAAACTCCTGCGCATAGTTGTACACATGCTCCGCCTCCGTCTCAAAGCCCACGCAGTGCGGCAGACCAAGTACTATATTGCCGCCGAGTAGTTTCTCCGCGGCAGACAAATACGGACGCAAGTAGTAGTCCACGGGCGGTTGCTGAAAACCCTTTTTTAGGTAGTTAAATGTGTTGATCTTGATTGCATCCTCGCCGTAGGCAGTTACATAGCCATGTTCTTGGAACAGTTTCCAAATGAAATTGCATTTATCCAGGCCATTCACCTTGTACGGATTACAGTGCTTCATGGCATTCGTCAGATTGTAGCCCACCATTAAAGCCATTATGTTGGGAAATGTATTGTCATCTACCTGCGGGACACAGCTTTAGCTATGATTGAATGGATACTATAGATGAGACTAACCTTGTTATAGCCCGCCAGCTCAAACCAATCCTCGTCGTACAAATACTGCGCTGTCTTGGGCATCGCACGTATGAGATTCACTCGCGAGATGCTATCGATGCCTATCATCAGTACGCTGGGCACACGCCGGCTCCGATCCTTGTGCGCCCAGCGCTCCAGGCGTTCTCGCACGGCCACGCGCTCCGGTACGGTTGGATGTCCGTTGATGTAGACTCGCTCCTTGTCCGTTTTACACTTGACTATGATGCTGTCCGTGCTGTTGGACAGCTGAGCTGAGCCTTTAAATTTCTGGCAAGACGTATAGTTGACATCCGTCTCACTCGCGCGCTCCACACCCATATAGCAGCAGCTCAGGGCGCTGCCCTTTTTGTAGCTGGCCAGAGCTGTGGATTCCATGCTTAGGATATAGCGCTGCGCAGTGCCATCATAGTGTACCCTGGTGAGTGGCGGGCGTGTCTGGCAGGGCTTGTAGGAAACGCGCTTGAAATGGCGCATCACCTCGCGCTTGAACGGATCTAGGTCCACGATCCGGCAGTGATTGCTGTACACGAGATAGCCTTGTGGCATAGGGGTTATCGATGTTTGCATCGGATTAGTTGTGTGCTCAATGGTTGTCAATAAAAGCGGTTGCGTTGGATTCAAATCGACGGCTGAGCACAACGGTTGGTTGTGCGTGGGGAAAATTAAGGTGGATCATGCGGGGAATACAAAAAAAATAAACGCATACGAAACAACAATAAACACAAAAGACAACACAAAAGCTGCAAATGCACAGCATAACAAATTGCATAAAACGGATCTCTCTAAACAAATATCAGAGTTAGGGCTGTCCCCTACCTTCCATGTCCAATACATTGGAGTGATGATGCACCTGCACGGCCTCCAGGTCCAGCACATCGGCCGGTCCGATTAGGAAATACGAGAATATGAATATCAGCAACAGGCCTAGGATCAGCTTGCGGCGCAGCACCAATTGACGGCCATACCAGGCCAGCGAGGGCGTGGCGCCGTGCTTGTAGCCAATGCCCGTCAAGGCCGGCTCCGGGGCATCTGTGTGGCCATCCTTTGTCTCGTCGTCAATGTACTCGAGCAGCGGCCGTTGGTCAGCCATTGCAATTATTTGTTGTGGCTGGCTTGCGGCATCATTATTGTTTGTTTCGTCTGCCATGTGATTCCGAAACGATAAGAAGCAATAAACAGTTTAAGGTGATGCAAGAAAAACCAGCAAAAGTTATCTAAGCGGCTCTGCTCGACTGGGAGATACGCTGCTGTAATCATTCAACCCATGCTAAAATGTTGAGCATCTAAAAAGATAAGTTTGTTGCGTCCACTTCTTGTTAGCGCCTAAATATCGTTTAAAAACAGGATATCGCTATCGGTGCCTATCGATTTCGTGCAATTGAGGCGAGCTATCGATAAATTCAATCACGATTTAATCGCGGCTTGCACAATGCAACACGACGTGCTCAATTGGAAGTTTTTCGGTTTTCTACATAGTTTCTAATTCTGAATAATGGGCATAACGATAAAGGCCCACACAGATGGAAATGCCGCATCGGCCGTGAGTGAAGGATATTAACACTTTCTAGGATTCGCTAGCTTATGGCACTACATAGGCACTAAATTATTGTAGCTCGCATTTGCCCAATTTACCGCAATGTGTTCAGGGATAAAGAAGAAGAAAGCGCGGCTGAAACCGATTGCGCGCCATTTTGTGCAAAGTCGAAGAGAATATTCGTGAATAAGACTAATCAGATTTCGGTAAGTAAAGATTTACATGTATATTTATACTACTCGTGCAATGCGTTTATACATATGCCAAATTTATAAAATTTCGTAGTACAAGAAACCAATATACTCGTTTTTAAATTGTGAACAGTGTATAAAAATAGATAATTAACCGCAACATGCGAAAGAGCTCACAAAAACCCATTGCGTGTGTTTCAATAAATAGGATGCAAATATTAAATATTGTGCTGCAAATTAAAAAGTAATTTAATACGTGCTGAATCAACAAACAAGTCATGAATTATGCAAAATGGTAATTAACTTTAAATTTTGTTTAATAAGAAATATAGAAACTAAAAAGTTGTTTTGCCATACGTTAAGCATAATACAAATGGTACACTTGTCACGAGTGCTCGACTAGCAGCTACCCTGTACGCATGCCATAAATCATAAATACACACATACACACATGCATACACACACACATACACATGCATACACACAGAAACACACATGCATACACACAGACACATGCACACACACCCCGTGCTCTAGTTGAATTCGGGACAGTTGTGCAATTTCCTATTAGTTCGTTTACCACAGCGTAATTTATATATGTATATATATATTTATATTGTTAAATTATTGATCAGTTTATAGGGCATAATAATTTTATGGAAATATGTGTTGATTCAAATGTGTGTTAAACCCAAAAATTAGAGACTTGAAAATGCGGATGCAATTCGTTTTAAATACCCCGCTCTCAAATCAGAATAGAGTATATTGGGTTGCAGTTATCCGGCGTCTGTCCGTCTGGCTTAGTCAAATTTCGTATGCACATTTCTATAAGCCCGGTTAAGCTAAGATTTTAGCATATTGCCACGCCTCTCGCCGATCAATCATAATCTTTGAACATAAAGAAAGATTGAATTAAAAAAGATGTTTGCCGTTTAAAAAAAGGGGGTTGGGATTTTCATAAAAATATTCTCAACAAATTCAAGATGTTGTGCCTAAAAAAAAGATCAAACATATTTTGTGAACATATGTAAATATATTTAAATGTATTACGCTGAAAAGATTTCCTAGTCGTAAAACTCTATTCCATCTTTTTTAAGTATTTATTTTTACTGAAAACAGAGTATCTAGCGAATGGGATCGTTTTTTTTGCTTATCGCTCACTTTTATCGATTATGACTATTTTGTCGAAATAATTTTTATGCTGATCTCAACACTCACTTTTAGAATGGGTTCCGTTTCGATTTTAGTTAAAAATCACATTTACCGCGACATTTGGCTGACATTTTCTGGCTTCGAGAAATAATTATGTGATTGCAATTTTTGAACTCATTTCCGAGCATCTATGTTTAGATCGGGCACTGCACTGTCCTTATATATTCACTGTCAAGAACGAATCGAGACAAAATTTTGTCAATGGGCAACAGAGATAGTTTATTTATTTATTTTTTTAACAGCTTGTTTACAATTTCAATTTGTGCACAATAATTAAAAGTGGCGTGAATCAGTCAGAGGTCTGCTATATATATACATTCGATGTGGATGATATGGTGCAGTTAAAACGAAACTGATTAACCCGTGCAACATATTTTGAGATTTATATATTGAAATTGACATAAATTGAAATATGCGCAAAGCAGAAAATTAACGCGCTGCGAACCGAACGCGACGAGCGATCCGTGAGCACTTAAAAAAAAAATACAGAGAGAAAAAAAGATACAGCTGCAATTGCTGACGAAAGCGAATCGCGTTGGGCCCCTCGCAATCGCCAGCGTTCGCCATCAAGTTTACCCAATCACGAAGCTATTCGGCTATTCGACTGTCATTCAATTTTTTGCTTTTAGTTTTTTACCCTCGGCTGTAAGTCGGTCTAGCCGAGTGGCTATATGCATATAAATGCATTGATCACGGGCACTTGCATTGTTTTATTGTCATCAAACATCATTGTAATTATGAGCTTAGTGCATTTGATGTTTTGCATACCCTGTAATTTAAGGGCATAGGACTAGCTGCCAAATTTTTGGCTTGAGATCAAATTTAGCCCGCAATTTCTTTGGGAAAGTATGCACTGCATGCGATATTTCCTGTAGAACGGGCAATTTGAAATTGAATTAATAGCTAGGATTTTGAATGGAATAACTAGGTTTACTTAAGGCAGGACTATGGATCAAACATAAAATCAAACCTTCGAACATTTCGGATCGAACATTTTGTATCAAACATTTCGGATCGATTACTTTTCTTTCAAACCTTTTTGTTTGAACTATTCTGATCGAAGATTTCTGCTAGAAATAAATAACTGAAAATGTTTGAAATTATGATATTAAGTTATCAGTTTCTCAGTCTGGAATTTGTGTTTTAATATTTTTGTAATTTTGTTGTTTACCTGAGTATTTCTACTATTTTAATTGCTTAACTAATTAGTTAAAAGTGCGCTGTAATTACTGAAAAGTCAATTAGCATTGAAAATAAACTTGTTTAAAATTATTTGCGTGAAATTTGTTTAGCTAATTTCTGAACTCTTTCAACTTTTATATTTCGAAACTATTTCTAATAATAGAAGACAACATTTTTCAAATTTTTTCATATCATATTTTAATAGTTTTATTTTTAGGGCCTATTAAAAAAGTATCATTAATCGCAGCGTATTTCGTAGCTCATCAACCTTGAACATTTGTGTTCTTAATGGTTTTAAGTTTTTTGTTTTTCTTTTCTTTTTTTCCGTCCATGAGTTTGGCCAAAAGCAACAATGATTGATTATACAGTGCTCAATGCTGGTTTTGAAGCATCACGATTTCCGACTATGACACAATAGTTTGTTGTTAGCCATCGAAAGAGATATTAAAATGTAATTGAAATTAACTTCGAGCCGAGCTCTCAGCCATCTACTATATTTCTCTCTACAGACAATTCCCACGAAAGATAAATTAACGCTTATGTTCATGCAAATGTTGTTAAACAACAAAACATATAATGCTGCAGTTAGCTTAGATAGCTTCGGCTGCTTTATATATTTATGAATTATTGAGAAGAGTTTTTGTTTTTCGTTTTATGATTATACATAGGTCAAAGTATATAAAAATTTGTTGGTTTTGCTGGTTGGTTCTAACAAAAAGAAAGGGCTGCACTTTTCGTTCGATTGCATGCTAAAAAAACATTTTTTTAATCACATGTCGATTGTATCTTGGCTTAGATTTTTTCTGTTGACCTGATAAGTTGGAAGTGTTTCAGGCATGACTCACACTGATTATCGTAATGTTTAATCTTTGGCAGACTCATGAATTATAAGCTTCAAGCTTGGCCTATGCGCGTGTAGAATTTACATTGAGTCTCAATTAACGCTGAATGTGTAAATTTATTGGGAAATCAAACAATAAAATTATAAGCAAACTAGCAACAAGCTGTACAAACAAATATAAATGCTTAGCATGTGCAAAAGCCAGCCAACTTTGCGCAAGTAACATTTATGAATAAACACCCCATATCGAATTACAAATTGAACTTTTAGTTTGTCTTTAAAAACGTATGAAATTAGCGTCAAATGAGTCACTTGCAGGCTTCGGCTCTTGTAATTTTGTATAAAGGGGCTTACGATGTGCAGTACACGTACAACATATAGCTATGTATGTATAGGTATGTCGAGGACGTTCTGACGTAGTAAAAATAGCTAAACACACACACACTCGCATACAGAGGCAGCGCACAAAGTGTTGTCGAGTTCCTATTGAAAAAAAAAACAAACATACAGTTGCAGCGTCAGCGTAAAAATTGCAAACATATCTGTGACACAATAGATACTAACAAGCTGCGCGTACTCGGATATACACACCAACACGCACGCACACATACGCATGCACAAAAGTGTACAGAACTTTATTTATTTTTTTTCGCAATTGTTGTACTCTTTAAATTGTTGTATTGTTTTAAATGTTGCACTCACTTTTAGTTCATTTAGCAATCGCTTATGCAGCTATTTATTGATTGCAACAGTTTAATATTAATTATATGGCAGCACGTCGCAAATGCTATACAAAAACACAAAAATACACACGCACACGCACACGCACACATGTATAGACAGAGAGCTATACGACGCTCGCGTGTCCTGCTGCAATGGCCTGCAAACAGATAATAATAACAGCAAATATTTTGCACGCTGGCGCCAGCGAGGCTGAGGCGTTCGCATGTGAGTGTGAGAGCTTTCATTAACACACACACACACACACACGTCGCCGAGCCGGAGAGCGAAAAGTGTAACAGACGGCTGCATTTTGTGAGCGCCGCCTGAAAGCATGCAATGTTTATTTGCTTTGTCGCTTTCGGTTTAAGCGACTGCGCAGTCGGCGCTGACGCCGCTTGCTCTCTCGCTCGTCCACCAATCAGCGCCCAGCACCTGTTGCATGCTTTTGAGCATTTGTATGCGAAGCGGCTCTCACTGCCAAAAAAAAAAACACAGCGAGAGACTTGTCGTGTGTGTGTGTGTGGAATTTTTGGCACGTGCTTGCCCAAAATGACAACAAATGTCAAAGCCGGCGCCCAGTGAACACCCTGTGCAGCTGTTGCCGAATGTAGCATACAAATTGGCGCAAAGCGAAAATGTAAATAATTAATGTGTTTAATGAGTTTTGGGCTGAATGTATTGAACAATGTTCATTCTTTTGTAGTTCTTATGGAAGTTGTGATCCGCTTTTGTTTAATACGTTTTATTGTTGTTGTCTTTGGGACGGCAATGGCAATATTTTTTAAGTGGCCCCTCGCCGAGACAATTTCCCTCGGCAATGTACGAATTAATACGACTGACGGAGCCGGACAACTGCACGCTTTTCGCGTTTGGCAGGTTTCTGTTGTAGCGCAACGTTGCCTCATACAGCGCCCTGTTGGGCAACGTAAATATGTTTAGCATATATATGTCCATATGCTTGAGGTCGAGTTCGGCCTTATAAACCTTTCTGACTTCGAACAGCTCTAGCGGCACACACAGATGGGACAGACTGCCATTGCGAAAAGTGGCTACATAATTATTTATGTGCTGCACCGCATGATGCGCCAGCCGCATTACTAATTTGCTCAGGTGAAACTCTTTATATTGCCAACATGTGCACCAGTGATCCTCAATGGCCACATCTTCGCAACTGCGATTAAGCGGCACCGGCAACAACAGACTCTGGCAGTGCGGGCAATCCTTGGCGCCGCCCAGCGACTCTAGACTGCCGGAGCGACCCGAAAGTGCGAGTATGTGCTTAAGTGTCATGTGCAGATCGTAGGGCGTGGTCAGACGATTGCGATTCTGGCGCAGGGCTTCCACAAACTCCGGATGCGTCTGTCGCAAAAATGGCGGCAGCCAGATAAATAGGACAGGCAGCCGCTCCTCCAAGTAACCCGACCAGGTGTCACGCGTCGGTCCGAAGCGCAGGCCATGGTCGCTGAAAAACACCACAACGCTGTGCTCCATTGTGCCCTGCGCCACCAGACGCTGCAGATACTCTCTTAAATACTCATCCATGAAAGTGGTCTGCGATATTTCGCTGTGGCTGTGCGTGTTCGTCCAGAAGAAGCCAAAGAAACTGTCGTTGCGATAACGTTTGGCAAACTCCTGCGCATAGTTGTACACATGCTTCGCCGCTGTCTCAAAGCCCAGGCAATGGGGCAGGCCCAGCTTTGTGTCGCCGCCGAGTAGCTTCTCCGCGGCAGACAAATACGGACGCAAGTAGTAATCCACGGGCGGCTGCTGGAAACCCTTTTTTAAGAAGTTAAATGTGTTGATCTTAACCGCATCCTCGCCGTAGGCGCTCACATAGCCGTGCTGCATAAACCGCTTCCATATAAATTGACATCTATCCAAGCCATGCTTTTCGTAGGGATTACAATATTTCAAAGCACTTGTGTAATTGTGACCTGTCAAGACGGCCATTAGGTTGGGAAATGTATTATCATCTATCTAGGGGAGACAGATTTAGCCATGGATTGTATAGATTATATTTAAGGAACTCACCTTGTTATAGCCCGCCAGTTCAAACCAATCCTCGTCGTACAAATACTGTGCGGTCTTGGGCATCGCACGTATGAGATGCACCCGCGAGATGCTATCGATGCCTATCATCAGTACGCTGGGCACACGCCGGCCCCGATCCTTGTGCGTCCAGTGCTCCAGGCGTTCTCGCACGGCCACGCGCTCCGCTACGGTTGGATGTCCGTTGATGTAGATTTGTTTCGTATCCGTTTTACAGGAGACAATGATGCTGTCCGTTGTGTTCGACAGCTGAGCTCTGCTGCTAAATGTGTGGCATGGCGTCAACTTGAACTCATCCTCATTGACACGCTGCACGTCCATGTAGCAGCAGCTGAGCATGTTGCCCACCTGGTAGCTGGGGAACGCACTGGCATCAATGTTCAGCACATAGCGCTGGGCGTTGGCGTCGTAGCGCACCTGGGTCAGCGGCGGCACCGACTTGCAGGGCATGTGATTTATAGGTTTAAAATGGCGCATCACCTCGTGCTTGTACGGATCTAGATCCATAATCCGACAGTGATTGCTGTACACGAGGTAACCTTGCGACGAAAGGGTTGTCTGATCAATCATCGGTTCGTTGGTTAACAAAAGCATTTGCGTTGTTGGTGGGCGTGGAGTCAGTCCGTGGGCTGAACACAGCATTTAATGGTTGGCAAGAACATGTTGGATCGGGCAGAAGTTAAAGAACCAATGAAAGAACCAAACAAAATAAATCGATTAGCAGTATATGTGAGCTAACTAAATAAAGAAGTTTGCGGCTTATACGAATCACTCTCCAAGTAAAGATCTCGTACTCTGCTTACTCTGTTTCTCTAAGAAAAATATCGTTATATTACTTAAATTAAATAACATCAATTTATATATATATATTTTTTTTTCTTATATATTTTTCTTATATATATCCGCTTTAAAACCCGAAAACTGTTGAAAGAGCTATTTTTTTAATATCGTATTGTAGATCTCATTCAATCAGCTGACTACATTTACACTCCATCGAATTCCGGACATTATCGAAAATTAAAGTTCGAAAATGGAATAAGGAAAGAACGATCGCCATTGCCGAAACTTTAAAAGTTAGTTGGAAAGCAGCAGCTGCATTTGTCTTTATCGCCAAATAAAAGCGTATCGGAATTTTTTCTTCCATTTTTTTTAAGTGTAGTGTTGGTGAAAGAGTGAAAAATGTTTATAAGTTTGGTGTATTCTTACCATTGGCCTGTATTCTTTACTCTCCTTCTCTCCTTCCATGCTCGAGCTCGAGCTGAATTTCTAAACAATTCAAAAAGTATCGAATTAAGAGAGAGAAAGAGAGAGAGAATGCAGGCCAGATGAAGTTCGAAAAAAGTGTTTTTCTAGTGCCTTATTTTTTTTCTAAATTTTTTTTATTGTGCAATACGTAGTGAATTTTTGGTTACCGCAGATTACAGCACATGGAAAAACCCGTTCGGAGATGGAGTGCATGCACGTAAGTGAAATATGACTCTTAAATTTTGCTCAATTAATTTCTTACACATAATGCAATACGAATTTTCAATTGGATTAAGTGAATTTATGCCCATCAAGAAAACTCTACTCTATTCTACAACTGTGATTCTTTTAGTTTCGATATCTCTTATGGTGTCATATTTCTTAGATAACAAACCTTCCATTCCCAAAACATTCGACTCCCGATACACTGGCACAATATCCACATGCGTTGATTTAGTAACGCCCCTTAGATAAAAGCTTACGATATAGAATCCGGCAATCAGCATGGTGAATATGGTATACAGAACTACAACGATAAACTGATTGCGCCGCAGCGATATACGGCGATAGATACAGTTGAGTACGGACTTCCATGTTACTGGCAGCGGGGAGGGTTCCTTTGCATTCTCCTCAATGCATTCGATCAGCGGCTGTTTCTCAGTCATGCTCAAAGATCTTCAAGACTTTAGCAGCAAGATATTAGAAATAGGATTTACACAAAAATTAATGCTCACCTTTCGGGCATAGAAATTTGCTTGGGCTAATTTAACGAACTTGATTTGCTGCTACATTCGCACGTTGCCGTACAACACTGGACTAACTGCTGCTACACACGTCAGGCCATTTACAGCACTACATTATATGAAGCTGTGTTCGCTTGGCACTTTACAACACTTGTGACTTATTCTTGCAGCAATATTAAAATTGACTTATGGAAAATTATGTTTCATTTGTTGCTCTTAGAAAGCTCTAAAACTTGATTGAAAAGTCAATTGATATTTGCTACCTTTTAATAGAAATATTAAGCGTAATTTGCAGAAAACAAATGTGGCAGCATTTAATTTGAATGCGAACAACAACTTTAGCTCAAAGATAATGTTTTTAAGTAAGTGTTCTACAAGTGTTGATTTTTATCTATTTAAATTATGGGCTACATATTTTTGAAAGCTTTGTCAAAGTCAAGCAATGTAATTTTATTTTTCGATACTACGAATACTCTACATATACCCTACATATTGAAAGCTTGTCTTTATCTATCGAAAGTCGGACGTTGTCGTAAATAATTTTGCCTTAAAGATATTTAAATCTTATCATTTTGCTAAATAATTAAACAAATGCTTTCTAAAATTTTTTGACATTTTTTATTTTAAAAATAAGTTGTGTTCGTTTTTAATTGTTTTATTATTATTTAATTCATGCATTTTATGTTCTCTTAAATGGTTTATTTTGTTCTGATGCGTTTTGACTTGATGAAAATCTGGGCAAACCGTCGTGACGGTCCCACACTATATGTGTATATATAGAGATATAGTGAATAGGGGTCTCGATATTGGTACATTATGCCTTACAATTTCATTTTATAGCCATTTATCATGTACATCAAGCAATTTGTTAACTTATTTACAAACAAATTAATTTATTATAAAAATGCATCAATTGTTTTTGTTGATTTTTTTTCTGTTCTCGTTGTTTTTTTTTTTTTTGCCTGGCCATAATTTAAATAAATTAGATAATTTTATAAAACTAAGCTAAGCGAATGAAGAATTTTTTTCTGTAGGGTATTAAAAAGTAGGCATAAATAAATAGTTCAATGGGTATATGAGTAGAATAAATAGTGTGTGTGTGTGTGTGTGTGTGAATAATGGGTATAGCTTGTCGATATGAAGTTTGGGATTGTGTGAAGGGAGTATGGGTTAGCGGGAGTATTGGTTAGATCGCGCATAGGGCGCACAATTGTCAGCATCGCTGGGTCAAAGGATGTTTGTGCATCCCTTGCTAGCAAGGTGGCAATTGGGCGTGGCTGGCGCAGTCAAACAAAATAATAAATAAATAAATAAATAAATAGCGTTAAATCGACTTAAATGCTAATGCAAAAATCAAATATTTCAATTGGTGCACATAATTGGCAAATTGACAGTGTGGGTAAAGTGCACGAAATAGTGTTGTGAAACAGTGTTGCAGTTGCAAATCGATTGTAGATCGTATTACCACAGCGGCATGGGGCGATGTCTAGCCAAATAGGCGGGCAGGCTGGCAGCCTTGGGCGCCGGGCAGCCTGCAAGTGGGAAAAATAATACAAATTAAATCGATTGTGGGCATCAGGCTGGGGGCTCAAACTTACGACAGACGGCGCAGGTTTGCTCGTCGGTGCCATCGCCGCAGCCATCGCGTCCGGAGCACACAATCGCCGTGGAGCGGCACAGTCCGTTGCTGCAGCGGTGCGGGCAATAGGCGTCCGGGTCGTTCCTGCTGGCCAGCAGGCCGCCAGCCTCAATTAGACGCATGAATAGATTGGGCATGGACCGGGAGCCGCACAGATGCGGTGGCTCATCGCTGCCATCCTTGCAGGAGACAATCGCATTGCAGTACTCGTACTCCGGCAGGCACTCGCCGCTCTTACAGCGGAACGTGTGCGCCGGACAGCTGTTGCCGCCCCTCTGGTTTCCATCGCAGCCCAGCTCATCCTCGCCATGTGGACACTGTTTGCGTCCGTCGCAGAGCGCTGCACGTGAGATGCAGCGACCGCTGCGCTCACAGCGGAACGCCTCCGCCGGGCAGGTCTGATTGAGACGCGCATTGTGAGTGCACTCCTCGTCCGAGTCGTCATTGCAATCGGCGCGACCGTCGCACACAAAGAACCACGAGATGCACACGCCACTCGAGCGGCACTGCAATGCGTTAAGAGAACGGTTAGCATAAAACTTGATACTTGAAGGGGACAGATTCACACAGTTAGTGTACTTCATTAGGTGTTTTCCTTGCAAGTAAGCTTGATATAAGTGTACCAAACAGCTATAAAGTGCATATTCTTGGTTATAAACAATTTTTGAGTACGGTTATTTTTCGTGTATATGTTGAAGCTAGGAAATTGAACCATTGAATTCATCAAAAATGTAATCGAAAATGTACTTCTCAATTAATTCAATATTAATATATTAAATAGTATACTATGGTACATTTTCTATCCAAATTTTCGTGTGACTAAATCATAGAAAAAGAAGTTAATTTTTGAATATGCAGTGGTACACTTTGATACATTTTTCATCCTTGGTACATTTTAATAGAAAATAGTACATGTTGCTTGTAATTTTGAGTACACGATACATTTTTCGTATGACTTAATCATCGCAAAAATAATTTAGCATTGGTAAAATGGAGTCATTTAATGCCTGTACTTTGTTACCTTTTCCATCTATGGTACATGTTACAAGAAAATGGTTAGCTTTACTTGGAATTTTAGTGAAAAGGTAATTAAACCGTGTGAATATATTATAGTGAAAAAAATGAGTGTTCTTCAAATTTCGAAGGGATTAGCCTCACGAATTTTTCCAACAAAGGTACATTTCACAACCGTAAATAGTACATGGTGCTGGTAAATTTAGGTACAGGTTAATTTACCATGTGAAACAATATAAGAAACGGGCTAAAACAAGTTAAATTACTTGGAGATGTGCCTACTTTAGCTTAAGTTTATTTTTGAAAAAGGAATCTCGTGCAAGCCTACCTGGAAGGTGCCGGGACTGCAACCTGTGCGTTCTGCGCTGCATTGTCCCTGTTCGCCGCTTGCCGTTGCGCAGTCGCAAACGCCGCGTGCATTGCACACCGTATGTGGATCGGACAGCTGGCATTGACGATCGCTGGCGCAGGGCAGACCCAGCGAGATGGCTTCCAGGCCAAGATCGACACGCTTGCGCAGCTCGGAGCCCGGCTTGCCGCTCAACAGGGGCAGCGCGGCGACGGGTACGACTGGAATCTCAGCTGGTTGCGGTGTTGCCTCCTCTGCGGTCATGAGGGGCTTTAGGGTGGTGACCACCGGCGCAGCGGGCTCCATGAGTGTGACACGACTGGCCAAGCCGAGCATCGTTTGCGTGGTGATCTCTACAATGTCAGCGGGATTGGGCGTGGCCTCCTCGTGCGTATGGCTGGCAGCGGGCGCAGCATTTGCATCCTCAATGTGATTGTTCTGATCAAGCAGCGTATCCAAGGTGGTTGACTCTAGTATCAGACTGTCCGATTCGAGCTCCTGCAGCCTAATAGGGCCAGAGTTGTCGATTAGGTCAAAAGGCAGCTCATCAGGGGACAGCGTGCGTTCCGGTTCAGCTTCGGCTTCAGGAGTGCTCGACTCTGGTTCTTCTGTCTGTTCAGCTGCGGCTGTGCTGGCTTCCTGCTCTGACGGCATCTCGGGATAGAAGGTTATTAGCTTTTCATCTAGCTCCTTGCTGGATAATTCTGTAACAGCTTCATCTTCGTGTTGCTCCTGCTGCTCTGGCTGTTCCTGCTGCTCATGCAGCTCGTCCGCCTCCGCCAACAGATCGGGTATGTTTGGCACCTCGGCCTCATCGAGCTGCTGCTGCTGCTGATGCTGTACGTGTTCATCGGGCATGTGCATGGTTTGGCCAGGCTGTTGTCCAAATGGTACGGGTGGCACTGTGCTGTCGCCCTCCAGCATAAGATCGTTCAGTATGCCCGCAATGCTTTCACTCTCCTTGAAGTCATCCGTGTTCTGCTCCTCGCTGACAATGGGCACCTCGGCGGCCAGCTCTGGCGTTTGGGTGGCTGCAATTTCCGTTTCGGCCTCAGCTGTCACAGACTCAGCTTGAACCGTCTCGAGTGGCTGCTGCTCTTGGTCCAGGCTATGCTCCTTTAGCTGCTCGTTGCTGGTGTAGTCCAGCGTCTGCTCGGCTTCCAGATTGGTCTGTTCGGTCTGCTCAGCTGTAGAAGGTGCGGGCTCAGTGGCCTTGATTGGCTGTTGTTCCACATTTGGCTCCGCTCCTTGTATGATATTATCATTTTCATTTTTGTCCATTTCCGTTTCATCTAACTCTCCACTTTCACTGTGCTCGGCGGTGACAGTTTCCGCCGCCACCTCCGTCGCTGTCTCCGCATTGAGTTCGGTTTCCTTCAAAGCTTCGGTGTTGGTTTCCTGTAGCTCATCTTGGTTAATTGGCAATGCCGCTGGCGTTATTTCGATGCCCGTGTCGGCCGCACCTTCAACAGCATTAGCATGGGTCTCCATAAGCTCCGGCTCTGGCAACGCCTCAACTTCATCCACATGCGACACCTCATCATTAGCAATGTTGTCCGACTGCTCCGCCTCTGCCTCTGACTCTACCGTCGCCTCGGGCTGTTTCTCTGCAATTGTTTCCGACACTTCGGGCGTCTTAATTGCATTTGCATTTAGTTCAGACTCTGCTGTCAAGATTTCTGGTTCAGCTGCCGTTCGTTCAGTCGTTGCCTCCGCCTGCTGTTCCTCCTCCTCCTCCTCCGCCTCCTGTTGCTGCTCTTCGGCCACCTGCTCTGTGGTCTGCTCTGGCGCCAATTCATCATCATTTGTTGGGTAAGTCAATTCTTCGTGTTGCGCTTCGCTGATTGCTTCCACCTCGGCTGGCTGGTGCACAGTCTCCGTCTGGTTCTCCACCGTCTCCTCATCCAGATCATGTTGCACATTCTGTTCCCCCTGCTCCTCATTGATTTGCTGCTGTTCGGTTGTTCGGTCCACTTCGTCTTCGGCTGGTTGCTGCTCCGCGATTTGCTCTTGATTTAATTGATTGGCTTCATTTAAATCATCTTCGCCACTTGTCGGCTTGATGTCGGCGCTTTGTTCTGCCTGATCAGTTTCAGTCTCCAGCTCTGACACCGTCTCCGTCTCAGTCTCAGTCTCAGTCTCTGTCTCAGTCTGCTGCTCTGCCTCTTTTTGCGTCTCGATTTCAGCCGCATTCTCGAGCTCGGGCGCGGTTTCGGTTGCCAACTCGACTTCTGCGGCTTCAGCATCAGCTTCTGGCTCAGCTACTGTTGGTTCGGGTTTCTGTTGCTCCTCTTCCACTTGATTTTCCATTTCCAGCTCTGGCTCTTTCACCCCAACAATTGGCTCTGCTTGGCTTTCGCTGTCCTCTAATTTCGTTGGCTCCTCAATTTCGGTTGCTTCTGTTTCGGTTGGCACCGTTTCTTCCGGTGCCGCCTGCTGCTCATCTGCCTCATCTGCCGGCTTGGCTGGCGCTTCTTCGACTTCATCATTAGCTGCTGGAACGTCCACTTGCTGTGGCTCCGCCTGTGTTTCCGCCTCCTCTGGTTCTGCTTGTGCCTGGGGCGCCAGCTCTGTCTCCGTCTCAATCTCATGATCGCCCGATTGTTCCACCTCCTCCTGCTCCACGTTCTCTGGCAGCGTCTCCTTGGGCACATTTGTCGCACTTTCAATTTCCGACACAGCTATCAAATCATCATCACCAGCAGCTGCAGCTGCCGCTTCGCCCGTCGACGACTCCTTCTCATCCTCTAGCTGTTGATTATTCTGAGTGCTATCCGTCTCGCTGTTGTTCTCCTCGTCTTTCTCAATGGGCACTGCTTCAATTGGAGGCTCCAGCTCATCGTGTTGCTGTTGTTGGTGCTGTTGCTCCTCCCCCTCGCCGGCCGTTTCATAATCGAATTTCATGGTATCGTCTGAGGCCTGTGGTGCAATTTCTTGTGCGCCCGATGCTTCAAACTCCTCCTCAGCAGCCGGCTCGTTGTGCGTTGCAGTTGCTGGTGACGGCTCCGCCTCCGCTTCTGGTTCTGGCTCTGGCACTGCCTCGGTTTCCATCTGATCCGCTTCAGGTTTGATCTCATGCTCCTCCACGTATTCCTCGTCAATCTTGTAGGGATAATCGTAGGCAGGCGCTGCTTCAGTCTCTTGCTCTGCGTGCTCCATGGCTTCGGTGGCCACATCAGCGGGCGTCAGTAGCTGCTGAGCTCCCGTCGTGGTTTGCGGTGCCTCAGCCGGTAGTTGTTCGTGCTCGGGCGCCGATTCATGAACTTGTTCGGGCTTGTTCGGATTATTTATCTCCTGCACGGTTTCCTTTTCTTGCTCTGCTACCTGCTGCTGTTCCGCTTCCTGTTTCTCTTGATTTTCCTCCAGCAGCTGCTGTTGGGTTAGCTCTGTTTCCTCATGTGCATGATCGACCAGATCGATTTTCTCGCCGTTATCCACTTCGATGATTTGTGGTCTTAACTTCTCGGGGTCCATGTCGTCCTCTTCCAGCGCTTGCTCCTCCACGCTGGCGGGCAGCTCATCCTCCAGCAGCATGGCGGGCGCGGAAGTTGTTCGCGTTGTTGTGGGCGCTGGAGTTGTTGTTGTTGTTGTCGTTGTTGTTGTTGTTCTTCTGGTTGTTGTCGTCGTTGGCGTTGTGCGTCTTGTTGTGGGCGCAGGCGTTGTTGTCGTTGTTGTCGTCGAGGCTTTCTCAATGGGCTGCTCCTCTGCTGGTGCTGGGGTTTCTTCCGTTGCTGGTGCCACACAAAGTCCACCCACCATGCGCGTTGGCGCCGTGCACTGGCAGCGTCCAAAGAGATTGGGTATCAGGAAATCGCAATGGGTGCGCGTATCAAACATTTGACAATGGGCATGGCTATAGCAAACGGCGCCAGGATGAGCCGCTGCAAGAGGAAGAGAGGGCAAATAGTTAGAGAGCTTGTTGGGAGAAGCAGATGGAGAACGAGATTCGCATGGCCCGCTTTGGGGCTTGGGGTCTGCACGTTCTGTTATTAAACTAACCGTAAATGGTGCATCAGCCACCAAATGCATATTAAAAACCCATCATCATCATCAACCAGAACAGCAACAGCAATGTGAACAGAACAACAACCGACAACAACGCGTATTATGGCAACAATCTGGAAGGCATTAGCCCGCCTTCGACATGCCTAATAACCGTCAACTGCATCAACAACGACGCATCGCTGATGACGTCGCCCATGGCTCAGCCCCAACCCGCTCTCCCATACCCTCCCTCTCCTAGTTGCCATTCTCTATCGAGTTGCCATTTCCCCCCCATGGCTCATGTGCACCCTGCTCATCATGCGCGGCACATTCCACAGCTTAAGCGCCCGCCCGCCCGATATGGTGCGGTCCGGCTACTGCGCATAACTGGCCTGCCTGCCTGCCTGAATTTCAGCTAGCTGCTTAGCGACTCCCAGCAGCAACTCTTCCGACTGCTCTCTGTGGCTCTGACCCACTTTCCGGCGTTGCTGCAGGCGCTCAACTTGTTTTCACTTGTTTCGCTTTGACTTTTGGCGTGGCAGTTCGCCAAAGCGACTGCAACTGGCAGCAACTGGCAGCAGCAGCAGCAGCAGCAACTGCAACTGCAACTGCACCTGCACACAACACTCAGCATTGCCCTTAGGGCTGCGTCTGGCTGCGCATTGTCTCAGCCAAGCTGAGCTCAGACGGGCTCAGAGAATGCAGTTAGCTGCCAGCCAGAGCCAGCGAGGCGCCCCAATTTTCATTGCCATGGCAAGCCGCTGAGCTGAGGCAGCCATGGCAGCTGTGATTGCAAAACTGTGACTCTGACTTGTAAATGGCTGTGACTAAACCAGTCGAGATTTTGTCGTATCAGGTGCAGATGCTGGTAAATGGGTGGAGTTTATTCATGATTATGTGCCAAGCATTTAAGATAGTAAAATTTTCGACAGTAGCACAAGCTAAGGCCATTTTTAAATGCTCATTGTAAGGCTTAAGGTAGCTAACAGGAGGATAAATTTACCAATTCATTTTTCATTTCATTGCAAATGGAAATTGGGACAGTGTTAAGAATCTGATTGACATTAGTGTTGGTAATTCGGCCTTTTTCCAGCCAAATTCGGCTGTTTTCAGAGAGCGTCAGTAAGGAAATAGAATCCAAGAATCTGTTTATTACTCATTGTTAGCTATTTTTAGCTACTTTAAAATTAAATTCAGCGGTTTTTCTATTGAAGCCACAGTTGGCAGCACTGCTTTTGCAAAGTGGCAACGCTGTGCATCCATTCCCATATGCCAAACAGTTACAGTTAACATGCGAAAACTATTTATTTGTTAAGTGACGCTCGATGTTATCATGAAGCTGTTATTTTACTTAACATGCGGATAAATTAAACGTTCGACTGGCTAAGAAATGCTGCTTAAACTGTGGATCGTTGAGTATTTCGAGTGCGAGTGACTTTCATAAATAAATATGTGGCTGATTGAAGTGCGGCAGTGCATGTAATGAAGCTATCAAAAAGCGTGACTGCCGCAAAGTCACAGTGTAGCGTAGAGCACGTGACAAGCACTACAGACTTGATAACGGTTAGGTACTTGTGACTGTGAAAAGTAATAGTTACTGCGGCGCAGCGCCAGCATTTTTGCTTCCCAAAAAAAAAAAAAAAAAAAAAAAAATTAGAAAAAAGAACATAACTCGCCACGAATTTCCCGCGGGAGCTTGCATTTTGAGCTAGGAGTGTGGGTTATTTTCCTTTTTTTGCTGGGGGCAGGCAGCTGACAAAGAGTCAAACGTTGTCGGCTTTTCACAAAGGTATTTGCAGCATTTGCAGCCTGCCATTTGGTGGAACCGGTTGGCCTATGCACTTAAAAGGCGCATACTACATGGCGTATACTTAACGAACGCTGACGCTTTGCTCCCAACTCAAATTCAAAGCTGCAGCATCTGACTCTGTCTCTGACTCTGACTTTGGCCCGGCTCCCAACGTGTCTCGCTGCAGTTTGACACCAATATATGTAGCCGAGCCGAGCGAGCAGCCAGTGCCATAGACCTAGGTCTTTCACTTTTATAGGCGCCCAGGCTGTGGCCAACAATGGCAGCCCACCCGGGCAACTATGACGACGCCTCTGTGCACTGATCGATAAGCTGAGGCAATGCCATGGCCACTTAGCAGTCCCCCCTCGCCCTATCTCTACAGAGACTGGCGCACCGGTGTGACAGGTTGCATGCGAATGCGGCACGACTGCATCTGGTAACCCACTTCGATTACGGCTGCCAGCGGCGGCGCGTGTGAAAATGTGTTTCGCCTCGAATCGCAGCTGATGCTGCCGCATGCAGCTTGCCGTTTGCCGTTGCAGTTGCGGCAGAGCGCCCGCTACTGCTCATCATCATAAGAGAAACAATAATTCATTTCATCAAAATCAGCATAAATTTCATTGGCACTGAAACTGTGTCAAGCCAAATGAAATGAACCGGTTCGTAGCCGGAATTCAAATTAATATTTTAATGTGGAACGATATTTTTTTTATCAAAAGTGTTTTGGTTGAAAAGAAACCAATTTTAAGGAACACTCAGCGCAAGGTTCAGATCAGAATTTAAAATTGAGTTGTTAATGAACATTTTATAAATTTTCCTACCTAGATTAATTGCTGTGAAACCGAACCGAGCTAAACCTCAAGGCAGGAAGTCAATTTGAGGCGTTAGTCAGAACCAGTGACTTCTCTTTTGGTGCTTGCAGCAACCACATTTGGCAGCCAATTGCGTCGCATTCCTGCGGCTTTAATAACTCAATTTATGTTAATTTTCGCTGCCAACTTTCATTGCGAATTGGCCATAAGAAAGCAAAGGAGAAAAAAAACTACGGCTTCCGAAACACTATTTCTAATTAATTGCAGCCATTTGCATTTGGTATTCGGTTTCGTTTGGAGTTGGAGCTCTGGAGTTGTTTGTCAAGTGCGATTGCCAATCTTTCCGTCACCTCTTTCTCCGTGTGGCCCACAATTATGCATTTTCTTTTCTATGTTTTTCATATAGTTTTTTTTTTTTCTCTCTTTCTATTTTTTGCTGCTTTTTATTGTTATGGCATTTCTTCAGGAAGTGGGGGCAACTGAGTGGAACCAGAAACTGGTCTCTGGCTCCGACTCTGGCTCTGGCTCTGGCTCTGGCTACGAAACTGTTCCACATAATTTGCATGCAATTTAGCTTCTGGCGCAATTCGTCCAAATGGTCACTCAAATGCCATTTCCCCCATAGCGCAAATTAACACAGTTGTACTATTGTCGGCTTTTTTTTGTATATGGTTTTTATTTCTTCTTATTATGATTATTATTATTTTATATATATATATTTTTTTTGAGACCAAAAGTGGTCAAACGAAATGAAATGGAATTTTTTTTCTCGATGGAAAGTGTTTTATGCTGACCAACTAAATTTGCGTATTTAAGTCGAAGCTAAAGACTTTAATTTGTGTTTAGAAAAGTGAGAGGATTTTTGTTGTTAGCTATTGTGTTTGAATGAAAAAGAATTTGCATAATTAGCCGATTTCAAGTTATGTTGTAAATTTGACATTAATCGAAAATTTCATTGAATAGAGAAGATTTTTTTGTTGAATATTTTGAATATATTAATATTGTTGACTCATTTGATTCAAGTGTGGTGATTCATGGAATTACGGAAAGTGGATGACATGGAACTGGTTCCGTTGCCAGTGTTGGCTAATATTGTTCACTTATGTTCTATTTTAAAGGCTGGCAGCGCTAAAAGTACTTTTTAACTGTGCTCCAAACCTGTTTTAGACAAAGCCTAGAATATTTCAATTTATTTTACGCCAGAAACTAAAAAAACTTTTGAGAGGGACTCAACTTCAAGATATAATAGCTTGTCTCTCTATCCTTGTAAATCTATTTAACCATATTTGAAAGTTCCTAATTTTTTACAGCACTGGTCAACAGTTGCCCTGAAATGCCTCTGGCAACGCTTAACACTTGCCAGACGCACAAATTTGTCGACTTTCGTATTCATCGTTTAGATATCAGCGTATTTTTTGGCTTTAATAAAAAGAAAGAACATCAGAGAAACAAGAAGTGCAGTTATTTAAGCGATGCCGGTCAAGTGATTCATTTTGATCAACATTGGCTTCACTTTTGCTGCAACTTTTGTATGCAAATCAACGCTGTGAGATCTCAATCTCAAAATTTCTTGAGCTCTGTTTTTGCTTGTTTTTTGTTGCTTGTCTTCGGCTACGTTTACGTCTTCGTGATGGCGAGGTGTGTGTGTTGTTTACCGTCTGGATATATCTGTGCACTATTTGCCCGAGCTGGCATACTTTTTCCTCCGTTGGAGCTGGACGGGCCGCACATTGTCATATGTGTGCATAACTCATAAAGAGCGCTCGAGCTGCAGCTGGGAGCTGGTAGCTGGTAGCTGGTTTGGTTCGTTAAAAGACACACGAAATCCCGAAATGGGCTTGGGCTTTGAGCTTTGCTTGGGTTAAGGTGCATGGGAAACTGGAACAAGTGGCCTGGCCTGGCGACAACAGCGAAAGCCTGCACAGCTCCAAATCTGGCACAGCACTTGCTCAACTTGACCCAAGAGGGGCAGACCGAAGCGCAGAGACTCGAGTGAACGTTGGCCCCGCCAAGTTTGTCAACTCCAGTTGCAGTTGCAGCGAATTCTTGGCTCCAGCTGCAGTCGGAGCCGGAGTTCTGGAGCTGGCTGCTACGCTAATTGGACTTTCTTTGGCCTGTGGCCGTGTCGCTGGCTTTCTTTTCACATAATCAGTGCAATTTAATTACAAAAGCAGCTACAGTCAGGCAATTAGGCATGTAAAACTGTCGCACAGTGAGAGAAACAGAGAGAGGGAGAGATGCAGATAGAAATCGAGAAAAGCAGAGGCTGCTGTCACAGGACCTGGCCAGATTTAAGTGCCTGGTGAAAGGTTCTGCTCCTCACTTGGCTGTGCATTTTGCTTTCTTTATTGTTGTTGGGTTTTTTTTTTTTTTTTTGGTGAAAGTATCTCATAAATGGCATGCAACTGGCAGCCGCAGATCTAGCTGCAGTCGACCTGACCACATGTCATTAAAATTATTTTAATTAAATATTAAAGCCAGTTGCCAGTTGCCAGCTGCTGTGCCACGCCCACTGGGCGTCAGCATTTGCATTGAGCGCATTTAAATGCTGTATAATTATGTCGCCAGCCGCAGTCGCAGCAGTCGTATGCAACAGGTGAATGGCATAGACACGAACTGCTGCTCCGACTGCTGTTACAGTTCGCTGCCAGACCCAGTCCCCCGTCTCAGTAGCAGTCCCAGTCCCAGTCGAGGTCTTTGTCGTGCCTGCTAAGCGGCAGGGCAAACAAATGTACCGCAAGTCGGCCAGCTGACGCGCTCCGCTCGCCGTTCTCCGCTCGACCGAACATTCTAATCAGATTAACGCCATTAGGCGCCAATGTGCCAACACGGCGGGAAATGCGAGCCCAAGCATTGATCCCAATCGGAGCAGCTCGCATAGCAGCCGATCTCAGTACGTTAAAACAAACAACTAATGGAACGCGCATTTAACTAATGGCCAGATCACACCAGACCATCTCCCATGAATAGGTCTTTGCTCTTTGTCTGGGCTAAGCTGGCATTTGGCTAATGCCTGAATCACACTTGTTGATCTAATTTGAATAATTCTTATTAGCTCGAGAGTCTAGCTGTTGTTTATTTGGAATGGACTGTTATTTTGGCGCAAATGTGCTTTAAGGCAAGCTCAATTTTGATTTTTATGGAACATAAAGTTGGCTAATGAATAGCTCTGAATGGTGATGAATGAAATGAATGAATGGTGAGGCTTCTTAAAAGCCTCGAGTTATGATGTGTGCAGCGCAAAAGTATTTGAAGCTCAGTATTCCAGCATTATAATAGTATATCCTATATCTGATTATTATTTAGCCTGGATTTATGTAAACTTTATGTAACTGCAACTGATTGCAGCTCGTTTTTTTAATATCCATCAATCTTGTTCTTGTCAACAGTTTCAGCTTCACCTATTTTAATTATAACTAACTTAAAAACATATTGATATACTTTGGACTGCCAATAATTGTGTCTACTGTTCTAGTTACAACCTCTGGTAGCTTATATGGGAATTTAATCTGAATGCCAATCTGTTTATGAACCTAGACATTGTTAGTAATATGCATTCCGCAAAAGTATAAATTGTAACAAGTCTTTGTAGTTGGAATGCAATTATAGATCAGACTTCGCTTGTAGATAAAAATAAATGAGTGCACATTTTTAACATTTTACCAACTAATGCCAAAATAATTCCCATTTTCTATCTAACAAAAGGCAATTTATTCAACATTCTAATCTGATAATGCCATCTTACAATGAGCTAATCATAATATTATGATAATCTCGAAAATTTCACCTAAGCTAAGCAACAATTAATATGTTAATCACTTTTTCCGATAAACTTGAAATCTCAACAGCTCTTGACGACGCGTTCAAGAATTCGAAATGAAACTCAAGATTTACATCAATTTCAAGTGCTCATCTAACGTCTTTTTGTTTCGTTTGAGCCGAGATTTCAGGCGGCTTTTGCTTCGTTATGAGCTTCTTGGAAAATTAACCAATTATGCGTATAATTAGTGACACGATTGTCTTGTTAGCCCATGAGTAGCAATTGTTGTTGTTGTTGTGTGTTTGTTGTCGCATGTTATTGTTGTGTAGCTGTTGTTGTTATGGCCATGTTGTTAATTGTTTGTGTCAAGTGGCGGCAACAGAAAGGAAAATTGTTATAGAAGTGTTAACGAACGGCAAACAATCAACGGAAATGAATGAAATGAGACATGCTTAAGCAGATCGAGTAAAAAGCAAAAAAAAAACGAAATACAGATTCCAGATGGAAATGCAATTACTAAAGAGTGGCTCTTCAGAACGAAGCTTGCGTGTTGGCCCTACAAATATGATAAGCAATCAAAGTTCCATTCTTGTTTTCTTCTTCTTCTTATTATTATTATTATTATTTTTTTTTTGAGCATTTATTGCAATTCTGCCAAACACCAAAGAGTTGAATGATATTATTAATGTAATTGTAATTATGAAAAATTCCATGCAATTAGGGCCACAATTGGTCAACAGTTGTCTGATACTTACGTCCCAGACATGTGTGCTTGCGGAATTGCAAGAATCCCTCGACGCAGCGGCAGGCACCGTCCAGGCAGCTGCTGTTAGCCACTTTCATGGAGCACTGCTCGCTCAGCTGGCAATCGCCGCCCAATAGTTGAGCTGCAATGTGAAGAGAGAGATGCAGAGGGAGGGGAGGTGAGTGAGTGAGGGGGCGGGCTAACGGTTCTGCATATAAGCAAACATCTTGGGCACCTCTATTTGCTGGCCAAACAACGACAACACTTCCAATAAAAAAGGTATGGTAAGAAAAAAAAAAAAAACGTGGTATGCGTTGTTTTGTCGGCTGCGAATGGGGGTTACTCAAAGATTGACTTTGCCTAGTTGGGCGAAAACTTACATGACAAACAGCGCTTGGTGTCCAATTGGACAAAGTAGGGCGCACACTCGCAGTAGCCCAGCGCCGAGCAGCTGCTGCCCTTGATGAAATCTGTGCAGTCCATGTCATGCTGGCACTTGTCGCCCAGCTCCAAGGCCTGAGCTCTGTGCAGCAGTGTGAATAAAACAAGAATCTGCAAAACGAAAACCAGAAATATATGAGTTTAATATTAAGCGTAAGAAGTTGTGCATAAGTTTCATTTAAATATAATGTGACAAACAGAAAACGGACTGCTTCAAAGCATGCTGCTAGACGCTTGCAATTCTCAACTAGTTGACGTTTCAAGGCCAGCAAAGACTGCTGCTGATTAGCGCAGGGTTTTTGAAAAAAAACTTAAAGGACAGCTTGCATAGTTTATATCTCTTTTATGCCTTGTTGTTTGTTGATAAGAGAACTGATTTAATCATATATATATAAATACATGTATATCCGAAACAAGTAATATTTAAAAAACAAACAATAAGTCGTACTTTTATGAAGTGTTTTTGGTACATTTTCTTGTATCTAAGGCCAAGTTTCTAAGCCTAAATGCCATGTTTAAGAAGGGGCATAATGTAAGTTCTGGAAACTATTATATGCACAATAGTTGCCAACACTATTAGCTCCACAATTATCTAATAGTTTCCAGTACTTACATTCAGCCCCTTCTAAATTGGCGCATTATGTGCATAAAAACTCATCTTCAACAATTATATGCACTGGCACATTTACAGTCCATATGAACTTGAGCTCTATGCCGGACTCAAGCTGAGGCTGAGTCTGTTGGCCTCGTGGCCAAGATTGAATTCACAGATCTTACATAATTGCAGCAAATGCAGATGATATAAGAATTATGGTTAATCAACAATTTAATTGGCAGCCAAGCGCAAAATTTGAACAGCTCATGCAAAGCGCGAAGAATTTACCAACACTGGCGGGCATTTGCGCAGCGGCCAGCTAATTGTTTGAGCACACGAAACTGCCGTTAGCCAAAAGTCTTGGCCATAAACAACAGCAAAAGCAACAGCAACAGCTAGCACATATAATTAATTTGTGTAGTCGAAAATCGCACGAGATACAAATATAAAAGATACAATACGAGAGGCAGCTGCCTTTTTTTTATGAATGAAGAGCTGCACACACACACACACATACAGACAGAGACAGGTGTGTGAGGTGTGTTACGAGCGTTTGTAACTGACAGTTAGCCAGATAAGTAGACGAACACGTTATAGATGCTACAAAGAGATACAAGCTCAGGTTGTAAAACAAAATTAACAGTTGCCTGAACACAACACACGCCCAGCTCTCAGACTCGAGACTGCAGATCTGAAAACGGGCCCCTTTTGGGCTCGCTCTCCCTCTAGCCTCTCTACCCTTCTCTGCCCCACTCTCTTTCTGTCTCTATAATTAAACACAAAGGGTACTCGACAAAACACAAGATACAGTTCTATAGCTTTGTATCTTTTCGGCTAGAACCCTGTCTGTGTATCTGTTTATGGCACAGAGTACAATGCACTCGTGTTAAGCGCCACACGCCATTAATTATGCCAACTAGCTGCTAGGTAAAACCTCGCTCCCCTCGCCACACTACTCGCTTGTTACCTCAGCAAAAGTTAGGTAACTTCATCTATTTGCATACTCTAACTAGATAATATACCGAAAAGAAACAAAAAAAACAAAACCTTACTGCGCCGTCTGATTTGTGTAATTATGTATTTTAATTTGCAACTTGAATTTGCTGAGGCATAAAATTCAATGACAGCATTAAATTGAAATAGATATCCAAAGAAACGGAGGGTGAGGGGGGCGACAGGTCGCCGGCTCAAACTCTATACCAATAAGAATTCCAATTGCTAACACAAGCACGCAAGCCAAGTTCTGCCCGTTGTTGTTGTTCTCGTTGTTGTTGTTGTTGTTGTTGTTTAGATGTAAGTTTACAGTTGGAAAAAGAAGTCGAACCTGAATGCAGCTTCGTGGCAAATGACGCAAGTTGCGCACTTTTTGTTTATGCCAATAAATTGATGTTTATGTTGATTACAAAGATATTTTTATACCCAATGCAGCGGGTATTCTGATGCTGCAATCAAATATGTAACGCTTTAAGGCAGTAGCTGTAGGACACATAAATTTGTGTTCAGCTTCTGTTGATTCGATGCGTTCCGCAGTTCTTAAGTTGTCTTGACATATCTGGGCAAATTACCTTCCTCAGATATAGAGTAAAGCATAGACTGGAAGTGGGCTTATATTAAAAATTCTATTTAAAACTGATCGAGGCTCAAAATATTCATGCATGTGCTCAATAAACTTAAGATTTGCCAAATTAATGAAGTTTTAACTCAGCTTTCAAAAAAATTAATAATAAATTAAGCTGTGATTTAGGCGCCAGATATTTAAATTCTCTTCAACGCAGACGCTCAATTGAATTAAGATTTTCTGATCTGATTTAGGCACGATATAGTCGATTATTTTTATCAGTGCAGCTTTTCAGTTAACCCAAGATTTGCTGAATTAAAGTCTGCACATAAAACCATAAATGAGCTAATATAAAAATCTATTATATGCCGGTTACACTTATGTAATTTCAAATGCAATTTTTTTTTCCTAGAAAAACATGAATATATACATACGTATATATGTTTACAGTTAGAATTGGGAGCCAGGCACTTTTGCCACAATCACTTAACAACCACAATTTCTACTTATTTCCAATTGGATTTTTGTTGCTGTTGCTGCCGCTGTTGTTGTTGTTGTTGTTGTTGTCGCCGCAAAACTAAACGTGGGCTCATAACAAAACACTCAATAGCATCAGCAGCAGCGGTAACGGCAGCAATTTGTATACGAGCTGAAAAGAATGGAAACAGGCAACAGGCCCAAACTATCGAAAGAGACAGAGTCTCAGTGCCATTCTCAATACACAGCATCAATATATCTCTCTATGTGTATATAAAGAGAAAAAAAAGAAGAAGAAGAAAAAGTCAATAAAAAATTGTTTAATTATGCTTTCGAGTGGCTTTTAAGCACGAGCAGAGAATGTGATCATTGTTGTTGGCCCATTAGAGTGGCCATCATATGAACGATTCTGCTTCTACACAAACTGCCTGCCTGCCCCCCCCCCCCCCCCCTCTCTCTCTCTCTCCCCCTTCTCCCTCGCTCGTTCTCTCTGCGTCTCTGTGTGGCAGGTTGACCCATTAAGCGGGCAAGTTACTTTCATTGCCAGACGCTTTTGTTGTCTTGGTGGCAGGCAACTTTCAAGTGGCACCAAAAGCTGCGTCTAAATAGCCCCGAAAAAGACAAAATGTATGAAATATTTGCACCTGCCTTCGGCACGCACATCATTCATCAGCGCGAACTGGTTGTGGAGCTAGCGGGAGGGGGGAGCTGTCGCGGTTGATTTATATTTTGTTTACGGCAACTTTGCAATTTTTACAATGCCCGTTGCGCTAATGAAGAAGTGGCCCGAACGCCCAGGTCCAGGCGGCACTCGTAATTTACGCGCAGCATCGTAAAAGAACAGCAACAGGACCAAGCAGAAGAAGCACACACACACACACACACACACACACACACAAGAAAAACAGAGTGGAAAAAAGCAAATCATTTTTCGTGTTTTACAAATTACTTTCGTACATTTTTTTTTAGTTCTTTTCGTATATGGTTCTTTTTTTGTTGTTGTTTAATGATCGTCGGGCGCCAGCCTGTCTGCTGACCTTTGGCCGCAGCACTGCTGCCGATCTGAGGGGGGAGGGGAGGCAAGGCTGCGGTTGCAGTGCAGGTGAAGCGGTTGCAGGCTGGCCAAAACAGGCCGCCAGAGAACCAGAGAGAAAGAGAGAGAGAGAGATAAGAACAAAACAAACAAGGAAATGGAGATAAATAATTTGTTACGCTTGCGTTTTGGCGCTGGCGGAAAAATGTGTGTGGAAAATGTATGGAAACTTTTCCAGTGCTGATAAACTAAAAGAATTGCACAATGATTAACAGTTGCACTTGATTAAAGTTAGCTAAGGCTGAAAATGATTCTAGTAGTTGGTGTTTGGGCAGGACGGAAGTGTTTGTGCCAAAGAAAGGTCGCAGGTTCAAATTCAGCTGCAATTTTGGATTTATATATATGTTTATTTTGTTTATGAATAAGAAAAAAGGGAAATGTGGACAACGAAATGTAAAGGAAAACTTAATAAATCAAAAAATATTATTAATATATAGAAAATGTGTTCAAGAACGATGCAGCCTGACTGTGGATATTTCGCCTTATTTTTAAAAGATTTTGTTATTTTAATAAAGTTTCCTATTCGATTTCATAAAAGAAATCTCTTTCATATAAAATATTAACTTTATAATAAATTCCTTAACCCAGCCTATATTTATTTAATGCATATTTCTTGTGCTCAAAAAAGTTTCATCAACATTTATGACTTTAATAATTCAAAGCTGTTGCGTGCCAGCCATCGCCATCTAACGACATCAGACAGAGGCCCACTGGTGCATGAAGCGTCAAGTTCCCAAGACTAAGCCCAAATAAAAAGTGTATCTCCCACCGTTTTTATTAGATTAATTTGCCTACATTATTCAGTGCTCAAGTGACGACTCCCTGCCGAGCGAGCAATAACAATAAGAACAGCCATGGAGCTGGCAGTGGCAGAGGTAGGAAACAGAGGTAGAGACAGAAGAACATCATCATCGACGCCTAGCCATCTATCAGACACAGTTTGACCCAATGGCCGACTTCACAGCTCTTTCACACACTCAAACACGCACACACACACACACACAGACAGAGAGACAGTCACTTAGCGAGTTGTAAGAAAAACTTGGCCAACGGCCCACGATCAAAGTCAAAGTCAAGTTAAAGTAAATGCCCAACCCACGCCAAAAATGTTCAAAAAGCACAAACAAATATATATACATACATATACAGAATAAATACATGTATATACATGCATATATATGTCTAAGTATCGCATATATCTTAATGCTGGCAATGCTTAGGCGAACAATGGCATCGGTTGACAATAATTGGAGTTTGGCGTTTGTGGAGCAGTTCACATTGGCAACGCCCCCGACTAAAAAACTTAAAAAAAAATGTACAAAATTAAATATTGTGGCAACCTCGTTTGCGCTGATCAATGGGATTTGCAAAATGTTTGTCAACACTGGCGCAATGCCAATGTATGTGCATGCATGCATGTGTGTGTGTGTGTGTGTGTGTGTGTGTGTGTGTGTGTGTGTGTGTGTGTGTGTGTGTGTGTGTGTGTGTGTGTGTGTGTGTGTGTGTATTAGTGTTTATAGCTTTGTTCATGCAGACTTACCGCTAAAAGCCGCTTAACCGTAAAAGCTTCGCTGAGCAACGCGTTATTTGCAGGTTGCTTTCTCGACGCAGCCGACGTCGACGTCGGCGTCGCTGTCATTGTTGTTGTTGCTGCTGCTGCTGCTGTTGTTGCTGTTGTTGTTGCTCTCACAGAGCGCTCGCTTCCAAGAAGAATTTTCCAGCTATGTGTTTGTTGTCAAATGCAGCTAGCTGTTGTTGCTGTTGTTGTTGTTGTCTTTTTTGTTTGTTTGTTTATTTAGTTGCGTGTGTATGTCTGCTGCAGGCACAACCTTTGAACTTGACGGGGTCAAAACGGAAATGAAACGAAACGAAACGAAGCCAAACGAAACGTTGAATGCGTGTGTAAAAAAGCAAACCAAAGCGCAAAATGCGCTCTCCAAAAAAATAAAACAAAATTAAAAATAATAATAATAAAATAATAAAAACATCTATGTGAATGTGTTTCATTTTGTTTTTTTTTTTTTTTTATGGCGTTTTGCCGGCCGGCTCGCACGCCCCTCATTCGCATTCAATGGGCGCAGCCAGTGCGCTCCACTTACGAAAAAAAAAAATGTAGAGGAAAAACGAAAGACTTAGGCAACGAACTTGAAATTAACACCTGGCTGCCTATAATTGTTTTTGTTTCCTACTTTTTTTTTGTTCTCTTCTGTTTTTTTGTGTGTCGCTATTTTCACTTGCTGTGACGACCTTTGTCTTTTTGCCTCTCATTGCTAATAGAACTCTTTTGTTGTTGTTGGAATTTTGGGTTTTTTCTCTTTTAGTTATAAAATCTAATTTTATTGCAATGTGCGCTTGGGAATGTGACGACAACGTTGTCAGCTCCATAACCGTTATGCGGCATTCAATTTTGTTTGTATTTGGGCTGATTCTCAGCCAGATCTTAGCTCTTGTTGTTGTCGTTTTTATAACTTAATAAAAACCTCTTAAAAACTTAAAGGCGTTGCCCGACTTGAAGTTCCGTTTAAAGTGGGCTGAAACTCGGAGCAGCGGCAATAGCCGCAAGCTGTGCACATAAAAATTAGTGAGCATCGGACATTCAACGTTGTCTGTGTGGCCCATTAAACTGCAGTCTATGCTAATGCCTTACAGCGGGGCACACACACACACGGACAGGCACAACAAACACACGGAAACTGTGGATGGTGCACAGCCATAACCTATTGACCAATAATGCTCTTGTAAATTATAGCGCTATGCACAATAAGAAATCGTATTGAACATTTTTTTTCTGTGTCTGAGCAACTGAAGCTTTAATGTTCTTTGAAAATTTAAGAATTTTTGCACAATCAGAAATCGTATTGAAAACCTATTACGAGCTGAGCGAGTGAAGCATTAAAAGACTTTGAAAATTGAAGAATTCTTAAATATGTACAATAAAAGTTTTATTCGTAAGTTTTTTTCTTAAACTTCTCTGAATAGTTTTTTATTGTGAGTATATTAAAAGGTTCTAATAGTTTATACTCGCACAGGCTTAAGTATTTGAACTCATCTTTTTCTAACTAAAGAATAAACCTAACATTTTTGAAAATAATTAGAAATATTTGTCTAGGCTTTTTCTGAACTTTTTGTATTTATATATTTGCAGAAGTTAATTTTATATATAGAAGAGGTTCGCACGTAAATATAGAAAAGGTTATTTTATCTAGCCTTTTTTGATAAAAAATCACTTTTTTATGTGTATATATATATATTTATGATTTTTGGTGAATATAATCCTATATTTTGTAGGGTTGCAGGCAAGAAAAAGAAGAATTTAAATTTGACGAGAATAAATGTATTTGTGACAACTAGAAAAGTTGGGAAAGTTGCGTAAAAAAGATCCCTGAATTAACTGAATATTTTTAAAAATATAATTTTATATTATTTATCTATTTATCAAGTCAAGAATATATTATATTGAAACTAAGAGAAAATTAAGTGAACTAGCAGCTAGGCCAAAGCTGAGTCCCGTTTATGAAATATATCTTGATTATAAAGCAAAAAAAGACTCTTTAGTTCATATTTAAAATATAAATATTTAAAGGTTTGTTTTAGTTTTTTGTTAGAAAGCCTCAATCTTCATTAGCCCGAAAATCTCAAGGATCATGCTAATATAACATTCTAAGCTCTAGCGCAACATAAACAGTTCATATTAACAAAGATTTTCTTCAAAATCTTTCTACTAATATCTAGACTCTGCCCAACTCTAGCATAAATTTCGCTCAGTGTAGTCACGTTGCTGTTGCTGCTTGCTGCTAGCGGTTTATTTTCAGCAAGTCCTGCAAATGATGATTATTTGCATTGCGGTCAAAGTGCAAGTGCAGGGGCGTTAAGCGCTCGTCGAGGCGCAGCCAGCGCTGCCACATTCAATCAGCTCAGCTGCAGCCGCGCCGGCAGCGAGATTGATTGCCGCAGTTGACCCAGTCAGAGTCGCAGGAGCCGTGCCAGGATTAAGCCTGTGTGTCGGCAGCCAAGTGTCAGCTGGCAGAATTTATGTGTCCGCCGCGACACGCACAATCGATCAGCGCCCGGGTTTGTGTGTGTGTGTGTGTGTGTATGCGTGCGTGTGTGTGTTTGGCTGCACAACCGCAAAACTGCAAATGGAGTTGCAAATGTGAATGCAGCTCGCGAATGCATTTTTCTTGCTCATTTTTTATTTCGATATATATATTTTTTTGCAGTTTTTTTTCTTGCATTTTTTATTTGCGGTTTTCGCTTGATCGCACTTTGGTCGTCGGTGTCGGTTGGTCTATCGGTCGCTGGGTCGTCATCAATGCAGCGGCCATGGACATAAACTTGGCAGCATAAAAAGAAGCACACACACACACACAGATGCATACACAGACAGACACACGCTCGGAGAGTCACAGAAGCTGTGGCAAGCAAAAAGCAGCGCGATTTTTGCACCGTTATGCGCCCAATATGGCGACGCAGCGTGTTAGAGCGAGCGCGCATGCTAACACATGTGGCACGGCTGCTGCTGCATCTGCATCTGCTCCCAAACTAGCCGTGGCAGGAGTGTCTTCATCTGCCTGACCGACTGGGCCCGCCCGCCCGTTAGCCCCTGGGCCGCGCCTTCAACTTGCGCTGTCTTCACTTGACTGCGTTCCATGTTTGTTTGTTTGTTTGTTTGTTTGCTTTTTCGAGTGTGTGTGTGTGTGTGTGTTTAGAATGCGCAAGACAGAAATTACAGTCGCCGCTGGCCGCGCCTCGGACATGGACACAGCGCAAAACAACTGCGTCCCCTGCCCCCCACCCTGCTCCTTGCCGGACGCCAGTGGCTGGACATGAACAAAATCAACGCCGCCACAGCCCCAAACAGACACACACAAAAAAAAAACCCATTGAAGCGACGTTCTAGCAGATCGAGACCGTAAAAAATAAACACAGGCGAGTTGAGGAAATTCTTAAACAACTTTTGGCCGTGGCAGATGAATATTGTTTGGGTCGCAGGATCAACAAAACACATTAGACCTAATTATTATTATTATTTTTAATTTTTGAAATATCTATTTTTGTTTTTGTTTTGTTTTTTTTTTTTTTAATATTTGTCAAGTTTATTTTTTTGCACACGCGTCGCGCACTGAATTTTATGTTATATATTTTTGTAATTTTTACCATTAAATGTTAAATTTGTATATTATTTTTGGTGTTTGTTGTAGCCGAAAGCAACAACTGCACACACTGAAACACGCTGTCTCGTTTTGCTGTATTTTTTTTCTTGTATGTTTCTTTCAATTTTTCTCTTTCTTTTTTCTTTGGAGGCGAGCTTGGCACGTCCGCACGTTACGTTGGTCAGCAACGAACTGAAGAGGAGCACGCCAACGACGGACTTAAGAACTAAGACAGCAGCCGTTTGCAGACACGAAGAAGTTACCAACGGCGGCAGCGGCAGCGACGCCGACAGCAACAGCAACAGCGAAGCCAGCTTAAAAGCTCCGGCTTGCCAACGGGCCAAGGCAAAGAGTCAGAGTCAAGGCAGCAGCAGCGGGCGCTGGCGCTGGCGCAGCCGCAGCTGAAAGCTTTGCAAAGTCTGCGAAGTGGACGATGTCGACGCTGCGCAGACGCAGACACGACAAGTGCCGTCGTCGTCGTCGACGTTGTCTCTGCCGCTGCTGCTGCCGCTGCCGCTGCCGCTGCCGTTGTTGTTGTTGTTTTTATTTTCTTGCACTATGTTAATATGGACGCAGCGACTGCGGAGGCTGCTTCTGCTGCTGTTGTTGTTGTTGTTGTTGTCTGTTATGCTGTGTGCTTTATTTGTTTCTTTAATTATGAGTGTCAGTTGGGGACAGTTGCAAGCGCAGATTAAAGCAGATAAATGTAGCGTACACACACACACACACAAACACATAACTTAGAAGATACACCTACTACTCAAAACTACTTTATTTATTTCTTAGTTTTTCGCTTTTCGTGCAAAATTAACCGTTTTTTTTTGTTCGTTTGCTTCCGCCAGTGTTGAGCAATCGCTTCAGCTGCGTGCTGCTAACTAAGCTCTGCCTGGAAAAAGAAAAAAAACGTGAAACGATTCTACTTCGAAAATAAACAAAGCATTCGCGCTGATTGAATAATGCGTTTGGGTGTCTTCTGTCTTGGGCAGTCAGTCCGTTCAGTTTCTATAGGCTCTTTAAAATTTAAAATTATAATTTAATGGCTTTAAATTGGTCGCTTGGGGTGTAATTTTCGCATTTGCGTTCGTTTCGAGAAGCGTCTGACCCAAGAAATTGGCGGAGAAACAGTTGATTTGGTCGGGCTTTGACTGGGCAAGTGGGTGGTCACAGTTGTTCTTAAAAGGCGAAATATAAAAAGTACATTATGATATAAAGGAAAGCTTGATATTTAATCAATTTGCAAGAGTCGAAAAACTTGTTATTATAAAAACTACCCCATTTTATATACAATTAGAGCATATTAACTTATTTCAACCCACGCAACCGAAAACTTCTTGAACTACCCGCGTACATACATAAAGAAATCGCCTTCGCACAAGAAGCGTAAAGATCTTCTTTTTTTTATATTGTGCCAAGTGGGCACTTGAAAGCGTTGATCTTTTCTGATTTCGTTTTCTTTCTCCGAACTTGCTTAAAAAAAAAAAATTGCTTCGATTTTGGTTAAATTTTTCGTATAACACAACAAGACAGAACTTAATTTGAAGATTTATATTGAGCACCGGAAGGCGTAAGACGTAAACTTGATTGTCCCACAGCCAGCACCCAAATACATATATACATATATAAATCAATAATTGACGCTGATTGTGTAAAAAATGGGGAAATGATCTTGAGTTTTATTATATGCCGGGTTGAGGGAACTGTGAATACGTATGCAAAATAATTAAGCATAACTGAAGCATATTCATGATTTGTAACCACTTCCAAATTTAAATTTGTAGGCGCACTTTATCAATAACATGGTTCATTAATCAAGTAATCATCACGTTAAAGGCGATTATTCACCCTCGTTAGCGAAAGACCAGAGCGCTTTAAATTGAGAACTTTAATTGAAATATGCTATCAAATAAAATTGGTTTTAAATATATATCCTCTAGGGGGAAACCTGTGCTCGCCCAGGTCTGAATTGCCTTAACATATATTCTTATTTTTATGCAAGCGAATATGTAAATATGTATTCAATAATAATTCGCAATGCCACGCATGTAATCTATAAGTATGCGAGAGATAGACATTGCCCATGGCTAAAAGACCAAAACCAAATTAATTAGAACAGTTGTTAGACTTAAAGCATGCGAAACTAATGCGCATGTGCACATATACATATAGGAATACATACATACATACACCGCCGAAAGACGTATATCCGATTTTAGGGGGCCAGATTTGGACATGAATTACGACCAAAAAATATGTTGCCAGATTTAAATTTCAAACGAAACTAGAGGCAAAACCATGAAGAAAAATCCAAATCTCGTTAAAATCCGTTGATTTTTGACCGAGTTATGAGAAGGGCAAATTAGACCAATGTCAAACAATAATACACAAATACAAATATACTAAAATACTGATCAAACTTAATATTAATTGATCACCAGCACACTTGTTAAACTCTTCTCTTACTAAAAATTCATGCACAACTGCAGGGCCTACTTGAATTCTTGAGAATCGCATAGAAGGACCGTTGCCTGCTACTCCTCCAGCACCGTTTCTTCCTCCTTCTCTTTCTGTAGCTTCCCTTCCTGCATCGTTGCAGTCCCCGCCTCTTCACTCTTTAAGCTTACGAATATGACTTTCATTCACAAAAATCGAAAAAAAAATCGAATCAAAAGTCTGCATTAATGCTTACACATGTATGCAGACATGCATGCACAAATACATGCATGCATACAAATAAATACACATGCATGCATATCTATGCATCGTAAGAGAAGAAAACGAAGCATTGCATTTGCACAAAGATCTTAGAAAATGAGCAGATTAATAAACTAAAAGTTTTATACAAGTATCCAACAAATTTTCACAGTTGCATGTGGAATTTAGCAAATTATGATTACAAGACTCGAGGAAAATATACTCTATAAAGTTAGCAGTTATTGATTCCCTTTGTAGCTAATTTTGGCGGCCACATCTCAGATCAGATATCTCGTCCCGCTCATGCTGCCTGCACTTAATGGGCGGCTACAAAGAAAATTGCGTTAAAAACCATAAAATTGTTATTAAAGTCTTAACAGACACAACAATATGCTAGGTGCCCACTCCAACGCCGCCGCCGCCTCCGCCTCATTGCACTATTAACAATGAAAAGCAAAAGTAAATCGAATCAAAGTGCAATGGAGAAATGCGCCGCAGCAGCTGCTAAACAATTGAAAATTGTATTTTATTTTTATTTTTGCTGCTGCTGCTTTTCTGTTGTTCATTGGCGGCCAACACGTGCCGCGTCTGTGCCGGCAGAGCAGGAAGGTGGGTTGGGCGGATGGAGGGGGTATGTGGAGGCATGGTCAAGTGCCGGCAATGTGTACAACCTGTCGTCGCTGCCACAGGCGGTGGCAGCAGAGCCACCGTTAGCTCATATCATAGAGGGGCGCACACGTTTGCCCTGCCCCACAAACACATAACACACAGTCCATGGAGATCTTAAACTTTCATTTATACAATTGTCTTCAAACTGTGCGGCGATTGCCGCCAACTGTGGCTCACTTTTTGTCTGCTCTAGGTGTGTGCGAGTGTGCTAGTGTGTATATGTGTGCTGCTGCTCCAAAATGAAAGTCGGAACAAAATGGATTTGCTTTTGGAATTTTTGTTTAAAAAAATACATTTGTGTAGCTGCTGCGACTGCTGCGACTGCGACTGCGACTGCGACTGCTACTGCTGCTGCTGCTGTTCATTCGTTATGGGCCACAAGCGTCAAGCATTTGCTTTATTGCAGTTTTCATATGCTACTGTGCCAAAGGAAAGGCCACGCCGGACGCGACTTGACTTGGGCCCAATATCTCATTAAATCTAAATGGACTTTTTTCTACCTCCCTCTGGCTCCTCAGCTTCTTTTTTGGCTTCAAAAACCGAAAAACTTTCGCCGGCAAACGCTGGCAGATAACAACACGCCCCCTACGCCATCTCCTCCTGTTGCTGCCGACCTTGCTGCACGCTCCCTTTTCGGGCTCCTCACGATATTCTGCGTAATCCATGTGGCCAGCCCGCATTTTGGCCCTTTTAAGTGCTGGGTCATTGAACGGCTTGCCAAAAAACAAGCTACACAAATTATATAAAAGAACCTCAAACTGGTTATTATAATTTTCGGTTTCGCAGAATCCACGCAGCGCACAGGCAAAGGCAAAGGCAATGGCAAAGGCAGCCCCAGCCGCAGCCATTAGTTGGCCTCAATTCTTGGCCAGGAAATCTTCGTGCAGCGTTCACGGCTTCGTGACAAATATGAATATTTCGAGCTTATGAAAACGAGACAAAACTGTGAACGTTGCGCAGACGGGGGAAACAGTAACGGGCAGCCACAATCCACCCCGCCCGGCGAGCATATAGAATGCAACGAACGCGGAAGTATTTAACGTGTTTGTTTGTCCATGCCAATTCTATGCCTGCTGCCGCTGTGGCCAGCTCCAGCTCCAGCTTCAGCTCCAGCTGCAGCTTCTGCTTTGTTGCTGTTGCTGTTGCTGTTGTGTTTGGTTTGGTGAAAAGTGTTTTGTATGCAAATCATTGAAATTACATATTATGGCCAGTTGGCAGTCGTAAGTAGCAGTTGGCCTGAAAGTCGCCTGACATGCACCAGAACCGAACCCCAAGCCGAACCCAAAAACAAAAACAACAAACAACAAACCCGAACCGCAGCGCGCACAACACAAAGAGGCATTCAAACGTTGGCCAACGTTTCCAGCTGTAGTCTTCATATGGCCAAGGCAGATGCCGACTGGCGACTGCCGTCTGCCCAGTCGCTGGGTGGGTCGCCCCATCTTCATTGCCATGGCCAATTGCCTACGGGCGGCTGCTGCTCAAAGCTAGGCCTTGCCGCAGCGACAGCTCATAAATTCATTAGAGCTTGCCTCCCAAATGTAGCAGCTGCCAAAATGCCCACGCATTTCACTTGCCACAAGTTCCACAATTCCAAATAACTTGGCGGCGCACTTTTAGTTTTTTTCTTCTTCTTAATATTCCAATTAACCCTTAGTTTGACATAAATTCCTTTAAGATAAAAAGAAAGCTTTCGATTTTAGAATTTAACTAGACAAAAATGTTAAACCTTATAAAAA